CCCTGTCTTTAGGGTTGGGATTCTTGGCATGGACACCCTTTGCAAAAAAAAATTACTTTATTTATTGTAAGTAAGCAAGATCCAATTTTGATTGTGAGGGCTACTCTATATATTTATTAGAATTAGGTAAAAGTTAAGTAGTCAAATAATATCTTTTATTTATTTTAAACATCAAAAGTTTTTGTTTTGTCAAAATAATTGATTAATTAAATTTTTATTTTATTTCCATTTTAAGATCATTTTATTAAAAATTGTTAAATTTTTTCATCAATCAATGGGCCTTTAACACGTGATATATTAATTTTTTTTATTGATATTAATACTTAAAATACATTTAATTATATAATTTTAAATTATTCTATTTCTTTTTAATTTCTCAAATACCTACCCTTTAAACTATCGAAGGCTTAGATGCCTCAATTTTGATTTGGGTGAAGGTGCAATCTCATTGACCGCGACAAACATACTATGATTCGATAAAAAAAAGTTGTTTTAACGACGATGTAAATAAGTCTAGATTACTTCGGTGGAGCGAATACCGTCAATCATTTTCTCGCACAAAGCTACCAAGGACAAATCAAAAAACAAACGCACGCACGCACCCGAAAAAAAAAAGTAGGTCTGTATTCATTGAACTCCGAATCTCACTAATTTGCCCTAATCATGTTTTAGGCAATTATGGTTAGAATGCTGATTGATTCATGGTGTTGCCACTAATGAAATCCCAAGGGCTTTTCAACTACCATCTAATCACGAATGATTAACCAAGGAAAAACCATTTTCAATCTTAATATCTTACACTCGTGTTAAATTGATTTGCTAAACATAATATCTTTGTATCCGACTATAGAATTTGTATTAGGAGGTTTATTACACTTCCTTCGATGTTTCAAACTTAATACGTCTTAAGATAATTGATTATAATTTTTTGTTCAAATCAAGAAGGATAAATCATTTATAATATACGCTCGTTAATAGAAAATTATATTATCTGTAATAAATATAAATAAAATATTTAAATTAGATAATAATTTAATTTTTTTAAAAGTATAATACGTCTTAAGATAATTGATTATAATTTTTTGTTAAAATCAAGAAGGATAAATCATTTATAATCTACGCTCGTTAATAGAAAATTATATTATCTGTAATAAATGTAAATAAAATATTTAAATTAGATAATAATTTAATTTTTTTAAAAAGTATAATCGCATCCTGTATTCTCTTAATCTATTTGGAGTATAATTTTAGTTGGATGTTGATGGCGTGTAGTGTGACGGGGAATCTGCACTCCTATCCTCCACTATTAGACAACTTAGTAGTGAAATATCCCAATGGGAATTTGTGGGAAAAATGAAATGCCTATCCACTTGCAATCTTAGTACGGTTCGCAATTTACAACCAGCCCTTTTGTTATTATGTGTCATAAAAATAGACGAGAGTAGAAACTAGGGCCTATGGAATAGATGCTCATACAGCTTGTCACCACATATGAGTAAAGAGCTGGGCCAAATTTCTATGATTCGGAAGATGAATCATGGCTCCTCACTCATCCAGTGAAGCACTTCAAGTAAAATTGGACGTAAGATCTTATATTAAAGAATAAATTTATAAATTTTATAAAATAAAAATATAAAAAGATATTTAAAATATATAGAAATAAAAAAAAAACCGATTGCTGTCACCCATCCTTTCATAGTACCTCCACGTCTTGTGGGAACTGCAGTGTGCAAGCAGAAGCAGGCAAACACTGGTTGGGTTGGACATGGCTAACTCGGGCAAAGACTCGTTGAAGAAGGGGGTCTACTCATGTGCCACGTCTCACACGAGTGATTCCACCATTAAAGAGTGTGCATGTGAGAATAGTAGACCACTGAGTGGTACCCATGTGAGGGCCCCTTCCTTTCAGTTGCCGTCTGTCTAAAGGAAATCTGCTTAGCTCCCATCTCATGGGGTCGGTTCCATTCTTTACTCCCACGTGTTCCCGTCCTGTTGGCTTGCAAAGTGGGGATTCGAAGATGATCAGCTGGTAATCGATGAGGTTTATATTATTACTTGATCTTGTAGTTCAGAGTAAATTGTCCTTTATTGTGCCGTGTCTGCCGTACGTTTTATACGGAAAATTTTAATCAAATAGTCGGGAACATTTGATATTGTGTCACGCGCTCTCTGTTTTTTTAACTACTCGGAGTTTTCTCTTTCTTTCTTCGTGAATTTAGAAGGGAATAATGTCATTTGTGTTATTCGTATTTTCCATAACTCCTTTTTATTTTTAATTTTTGTGTTCAATTATTTTTTTATTATAAAACATAAACAAATTTATCTAATCATTTCATAATTTTTGTATTACGTTGATTCTATGCGTAATTTAAGTATATATTTAATCAAAATATTAAAAAAATTATCTTTAAAAGATGATTAATAAGTTTGACTGATCTATTTTGATACGTGTAAAATAATGTAATATATAAGGATAAAAAATATAATTATTATTGTCTGTTAACTTTTTTACTATGGCATTTTTAATGACATAATTTTAAAAATCAAAATAAATACGTTTAGTAGGACAGAAAAATATTATACTATTTATAAATAATATCAGTTATGAATACATTCGAGATATATGAGGGAACGTCATATGCATAATGAACCGATTAAAACTTTATTATTGATTATTTAAATCAAATAAAATTATGAAATTATGAAATTATTTTAATGGCTAATGGAAGTGTTTTTTTTATTCAGTGGCAGAACCACGTAGGATGGAAGGAGATATGATCCCTCCCAATTTTTATGATTTAATTGTATTTAAGTCCTTGAAAGTTTTAAAACCTTTAAAATTAAGTCTTTACCTATTCCAAACTTTTTTATTCAATTATTTTAAGACATTGTCACTTTTAAAGTAAAATAAAATTAAGTCTTTCTCTTAACATTTTTGGCTTAATTATTTGTTAGGACATACCAATTTTGAAATTTTGTAAAACTAAGCCACATTCCTCTATTTTATGGGTTTAATTTCTTTTAGAACCTTGTTAGTTTCAAAGATAAGCAACTTGGCCCCTCCCATAATTTTATCATTGTAACATTGTTCATAGGGGTGTTAAAATAATCGTAATCGTTAACTGGTATAACCGTTACATTTAACATGTTAATTAATCAAAACATTAATACTAAATGGTTTTAGTTAACCGAACCATTGAAAATGATGTTAACGGTGAAGGTTCCGATTACGAATTTTGGTAAACGGTTAGTTAACAATTAATAAATTATATTTATAATTTATTATATTTTTATAAAAATAACTTAATATAATTTTCTACTATTTCTAATTTTTATATATATTCAATAAAATTTGTACACAAATAACTTAATATATATTATTATTTTTAATTATTTTTATATTTTTTAAAATACATAAATATACTTACACCAATATAATAATATGTTTATTGTTATATACTAAAATATTGGGAGATGTACATACTTATATCGGTATAAGTATGTGTTAAATGTTACATTTTTTATTTTATTCACTTACACCGGTGTAAGTATGTGTTAAGTGTTACACTTTTTTATTTTATTCATTCACACCGGTGTAAATGTGTTAAATACTACACTTTTTTATTTTATTCATTTACACCGGTGTAAGCATATGTTAAGTGCTACACTTTTTTGTATAGTGAATTATTTTTTTTTATAAATAATTATAATAGGGTACTCAACGGTTAACCTGCAATCGAATTGTTAATAACAGCTAACTATTAGCGGTTAATCATTTTTTAACGGTTAAGTTATGATTTGAAAAATCTCATAATCAAATTAACGTTTAGGCTAAACGGTACTGTTAATCGTCAGTGAACAACCTTACTAGTTTTACCCTTATCTTCTTAGAGGTTCTAAGTTTGAGCAGTTATCTCTGCAGGATGTATGTACGATGTTAGTAAATAAGAAATATTATAAACATATACTATCTTATAATAATTTCAAACTATTTTTAAAAAATTAAATAAATATTTTCAAAAGGATAAATGTACATTTTAATATTTAAATTTAATTTTAGAATACTAAATTAAACCTTAAAGCGAAATACAAGTACATAATCAGATCAAAGAAAATTAAACCTTAAAGCGAAATACAAGTACATAATCAGATCAAAGAAAATTTTAAGTACACTTGAGGGGTGTTTGGTTCAAGGATTGTGGGATTCTCATGGGATGGAAATCTCACATTCCCATGTTTGGTTGGTCGGGAATCTCATTCCCGGTAATGTTTTATTATCAATAGTAGATTTTTTGGAGTATATTACCGGGAATGTCATTACCTCCATTCCCTTAGGTATTGTAACATTACTGGCGTTTTGGACTAAAATACCCTTAAATTTTTATTTTTTTTCAAAAATATCATTATTCTGTCATTGAATAATAAAAATTAAACGAAGGTTAAATTACAAATTTATCCTTAAATTATTTTAGATTTACAAAAAAAATCTATAATTAAAATTTTATATGAAGTTTAGGAATTTAAAAAAAAAATTACCCTTTCATTAAACATTTTTTATATTTTTAATTTTATACAAAAAATTATATAAATATTATGAATTTAATTTTTTTAAAGAAAATATATAAATATTCTACAATTTGTAATATTATACAAATATATAAAAAGGATAATTTGGTCAAATATACATTCAAATTTATTCTTTAACCAAACACAGTAATTTTACATTCCTGTTAAACCAACCAAACATAAAATACAACATTCCCAGTAATCCTATTCCCTGTTAATCTTTTATTCCCACTAATAATCTTACATTCTGTGAACCAAAAGCACCGTAAAGTAAAGTTTAAATACTAAAACAGATATATAGTATTCTAAAATTGTAGAAGGCGTGAAGTGCAAACGCTGACCTAGAGCGTCAACAACAGAGGAAAAGGTTACGAGGAAGGTCCACTCAACAGCTATTACCAGACGGCATTTCTTTCATGTTCCAACCTCAACACAACGACAACAAAACAACCAAAGAAAAGTTATATTATTTCCCCTGCTCCATCTTCTTCACTTCGTTTATATATCTGAAAGAAAAAGGAAGAAACTAAAGAATCGTTCTAGTTTTATGGTATCACTTTCTAATTATGGAAATAAATAGGGGTCTGTTCATAGTAGTTTTAGTTGTAGTTTTGACTGCTAAGTTGGGGTCGGCTGGGGACATAGTTCACCAAGACAACGTTGCTCCAAAGAGACCTGGTTGTGCTAACAATTTCGTTCTGGTAATCCTACAAAAAGCACTTAATTTTACTTTTTTCCCTTTTTTTTTGTTTCCTGTAGTTTTCTCATTGACGTCTGTTTGGTTGCTGGGAAAATGGAGGAACGATAAAAGAATATTCCTTTTCTTTTGGTTTTCTACTTGATATCGACTTTAGATGTTTTGTTAAATTTGATGAGTAGTTTAATTGTTTCTTTTTTTGGGATTTGTTTATTCTAAATTATGGCTTTGTCCTTTTGTTCATCCTGTTTGATAGCCGGGAAAATTTTATTTTCTAGACTTGTTTTTTTGATTCAAATTTATTGTTCGTTCATTTCTTTTTGCTTTGGATCAAAGGAAAATGAAGTGTTTAATCTGCTATGAGCTAAATCTTTTTGAAATAAATAGTTTCTTTGACTTAGCTAAGTAGGTTTTTTGAGTTTAGCTGTGTAAGACTATTTTCCCATACTATTGGTATGGTCAACCACTTTTAGATATTTTCTAGCAGCTAAACGACACCCGAATTTCTCTCAAAATTTAAATTAGATCAAAAGGATATTTTACTTGGAAAATATCTTTCTATTGCAATGTCTTTAATCTCCTAATATTTGCTAATTGTACTCAGCAGCTCAGCTTGCAAAAAGTTAAGTAAATAGTGGAAAATTCTGTCGCATATATATTTTTTCCTCCTCAATTTTGGACTTGATAATAGATTCCATGACCTCTTTGCTGGTGCTTGACAATTGAGTTAGTATGGTGCTTGCTTATTCATAATACTTTTTTTTCTTGGTATAATCATGTTCCTTTGGTATATCATTTTGTAAATTGTTGAATATTGCTTTTGGATTATTTATCATCCAATTTGTTATAGGTAAAAGTCCCAACCTGGATTGAGGGTTTAGAAGACAATGAGTATGTTGGTGTTGGTGCTCGTTTTGGCCCTACTTTGGAGTCGAAGGAAAAGCATGCAAACCATACCAGGCTTGCACTTGCAGATCCTCCAGATTGTTGCAGCAAACCTAGGAATAAGGTGTTCAAATTCTGATCTTTTTACAATATATTAATCCAATTTGACTACTAGATAAGTAGATATATTCACATATACGTGTGTTTTCATCTAATCAGTTGCCCTTACTCTTGTTTCCTTTACTCTTAGGGGCCGTTTGGTTCACGGCATACAACATTACCGGGGGAATGGAATCCTCATTCCTCAGTTTGGTTGGCCGGTAATCTTATTCCCGGTAATCTTTTATTACCAACAGTGGATTTTTTTAGGTATATTACCGGAAATGTGATTACCCCTTGCCTTAGGTATTGTTGGATTACCGGTGTTTTGGACTAAAATGCCCTTAAAAAAATTTTTCCTTTAAAAATTATCCTTCTTCTATCGTTGAATAATAAAAATTCTACATAGGTTAAATTACAAATTTATCCTTAAACTATTTTAGATTTTAAAAAAAAATCTATAATTATAATTTTATATAAAGTTCAGGGGTTAAAATAAAATTTTACCCTTTCATTAAACCTATTTAAATTTTTAATTTTGTAAAAAAATTATATAAATTAATTATAGTAATATTGTAGTAGAATTCAACTTGTTAAAAAAACAAATATATAATAAGGACAATTTGGTAAAATATACATTACAATAATCTTTTATTCCTTTAACTAAATACGGTAATCTTAAATTTCTACTAAACCAACCAAACACAAAATACAACATTCCCAGTAATCCTATTCCCTGGTAATCTTTTATTCCTACTAGTAATCTTACATTCCGTGAACTAAACGCACCCTTAGTTAATCTTGAATATTTTTGTACGTGGTAGCTTACAGGGGAGGTCATTCTGGTTCGCCGAGGTAACTGTAGTTTCACAGTGAAGACAAATGTTGCTGAAGAAGCTGGTGCTTCTGCCATCCTCATAATAAACAACCAAACTGGTATGTCATTTCATTTTACCATTTCTTCTGGCAACTACTAAGAGCTTGTCCATCTTGATGGCCTGTTGTGATAAAAGCTAGCTCCATACCCTATACACTTTCATTTGCTATTTGCCGATATTAGAGGCTATCTCTTGACTGATAGGTCTCACTTCATTTTATAGCTAGCTTTTTTGTGTCTGAACCAAAAGAAAAAGAAGATTTTCTGTGCTATATGTTACTTCACGTTGGAAAGAGAATAAATTTTCTGGTTTACATAGGCTTAGGACCTCTACATTTTTCAACTATACCCATACCACAACTGTGATTAAATTACATAATCTTACCCTTTATGGTATGTGTTTGACTAATGTCGCTTTTCATTCATCCAAATTCTGGATAGCTGTTTGGTCCTTGGAGCTTATTTTAGCTTCAATTGTGGTAGCACTAGATTCTTAATCAAATGTTACATTAAATATGATAGAATTTATTGTAATGGCTAATTATAGTTTTGGCAGCTGTCACCAGTCCAAAACTTGTTTTTGCTTTCTAAAGATTGAATCGGTTAATCTTTTCTACAGAACTCTTCAAGATGGTGTGTGAATCTGATGCTGATGTAAATATAACAATACCGGCTGTCATGCTCCCTCAGGATGCCGGTTCACGTTTGGAAAAATATATAAGCAACAACACCATGGGTATGGCTTTCTCTCTTCTGCATTTCCTTTATATTAATGTCACGGTTGATCCCGCATCTTTATTGTTACGGCAAAATGCTCTCTTCTGACCTTTTACCTTGCTTGGGATGGGAATGCCTAATATGGCATTTTGTCATCATGTATTTTAAATTATCTTCAATTTTCATATTTATGTAGTTTCTGTTGCTCTTTACTCTCCAAAGCGCCCAGCCATTGATATTGCCGAAGTGTTTTTGTGGCTAATGGCTGTTGGTACCATTTTGTGTGCCTCTTATTGGTCTGCATGGACTGCTAGAGAAGTTGCTATTGAGCAAGACAAGCTACTCAAGGTCACTTTTATGCCCTAATTTTATGTGTTCTTTGTTAAAATTCTGTTATATCATATATAAGCTAAAGATTTTTCAGTAGAATCGAATCGTGCATCACAATGTTATGTTGATTGATGTTGGTTGCTCAGGATGCATCAGAAGAATTTCTACAAGTAGGAGGTTCGGGTTCCAGTGGTTTTGTCGACATAAATACAACATCAGCAATTCTCTTTGTAGTAATTGCTTCATGTTTCTTGGTCATGCTTTACAAGCTTATGTCATTCTGGTTTGTTGAAGTTCTGGTGGTTCTCTTTTGCATCGGTGGAGTAGAGGTGCGCCTGTTTCATATATCTGTATGCTTAATTCAGGGTGGCTTATTTCTTTCATATTTTTATTGGTAGTTCACAAGTTATTAGTGATCAATTTCACGTTATCTCCTACAGTTTCAATAATTTTGTTGGGAGTTTTGTGATTTTACTATTGCTGCTGGTCTTCTTTCCTTGCGTTTATATGATTTTCTTATTCCTGTTTTTGATGTGTGCTTCTTTGGTAAATATTAACCAAAACTCGATTTTTCATCATCTGCAATGTCACAAATCTAACTAATGGTTATGAATTATGAAGCCTTTTCATGAAAGCTGCAATGTTATTGCACACATACATCTTATGCACGCTGAGCACCATCTTCTATGTCTCAGCACTTCTCTGAAAAATCCATAGGTGCATGCACATCTTCAGGGAAAAAATTTTCAAGTTGAAGATCTTGAGTCTGTTTACTGGAAGCTGCAATCGGGGACTACTTGTTCCTTTTGTTCAAAGTCAACTTATTGAGAACCAGCTTTTGTCTCTGTTTCATAGTTTCTTTGGTGGATAGAGTGACGTCTATTCCTTTATGTTTCTATAGAGGCTAAGATTTTAGACTGCGTGTTAAATATCTTGGGCGTGTAAGATGCAAGGTCGCAATCCTTTCAGCTTTACAATAACTTATCTGAGACATGTCATGTCACCCACTTAAAATGTTTCATGTGCTGTGAAGACAACGATAATCATGTGATTTAACTTGTGGTAGAAATCATGCAACACGTTGCAACTTTGGCTGGAACCCATGACTGTGCGTGCAGTTTTTTTAGAACCTTAATCTGAAAACATCTGTTAAGTAAATATGCCTGGGTGTAAAAAACTTAATCAGAAGTCACTTGTTTTCCATGTTACATTTTCCCGACATTTTCTTGTGATAAGGCTTGATAGATATGGCACGGGGTTTGGGGTTAGGGGAGGTCCTTTTGAGATGCATGCTGATCCTTGGTATCCTTTATGCTTCCAGGGCTTACAAACGTGCTTGGTGGCATTTTTAGCATGGTATGCATATTCCTTCCCCATTGCCTTTCCATGTTTGTCTCAGGATTATATGGAACAAGTCTGCTACCAAATCTCTATTACAATGTTCTAAGAGCAGCACTGCTGCCCAGAATACATGTCTTTACTTTCTACATTTTAATGATCACGTTACAAATCATAGGACACTGACAGCTAAATATGCATGTAGTTTCAGGTGGTTTCTGCGCTTTGCGGAATCATTTATTAAAGTACCCTTCTTTGGAGCTGTTTCACATCTGACACTGGTTGTTTGCCCCTTCTGCATAGCATTTACTGTTCTTTGGGCAGTGTATCGCCGTATCTCATTTGCCTGGATAGGTCAAGATATTCTTGTAAGAAAACATTTTCTTTTTGTATCTTATCATCGTGTGTTGTTATTAGTACTTCTCTTAGATACTGATCAGGTGATTGAATTGTCTTGTATCTGATGTCTCCACTTGCTTGTAGTGACATCTCTCGTTATTGAACTTTAATATGGTCGGACTGGAGCCGTGTTTAATTAACACTCTTTTACGTGAACTGATGAAATTTAAACTACCTTTTTTTGTTATTTCATTCAGGGGATTGCACTAATAATCACTGTCCTTCAGATTGTTCGTGTACCAAATCTCAAGGTTAGTACCTTCATTTATTTGGCTTTTTCTGCCTACATAGAGAGACATACATGTTTTGCTATTATATGGTTTTTATATTCTTCCTATTTCTCTACACACAGGATACGTAGGCATGTAATTAGTATACATTGGAGAACAATTGAAATGTGTTGAAAGCTCCTTTTGATGATGCTCTTTACTTTTTTTTAATCAGGTTGGAACAGTTCTTCTGGGTTGTGCTTTCTTATATGACATCTTCTGGGTATTTGTTTCCAAATGGTGGTTTCATGAGAGTGTCATGATAGTTGTAAGTAATCATAACAATAATGGTTGATATTCTCTCTGTAGACCTGTTGGTCCTTTGAGGAAGGACAATAGTTTCATTATTTTTCTTCTATATAGGTAGCTCGTGGTGATAAGAGTGGCGAGGATGGCATACCGATGCTACTAAAAATTCCACGGATGTTCGATCCTTGGGGTGGCTACAGTGTTATTGGATTTGGAGACATAATTTTACCTGGCCTTGTTGTGGCATTTTCGCGAAGGTATGAACATTGGAGCCTCAACTACCAGCTTTTGACTAAAAATAGTTGCTTTTGTTTGTTTTCATAGTACTCATATCTTCATTCAAATGTTTGAGCAAGTAGGATTGTTCCGAACAAAGTGTTCGGTTTCTGATGTTTAGTCTGCTTATCAACCGACACTATTGATGGATTTTGCAGATATGATTGGCTAGCAAAGAAGAATCTTCGGTCGGGATACTTTGTATGGGCAATGACTGCCTATGGTGTAGGTATGAGGAATTCTATTTTGCTGAGCCATCATGTTGATATGTATGGGACTGTGATGGAACCAAGCCAAGCTTGAATTTATTCGCTTTTAATCCAACTTAGCCTCTAATGACTCTTAACAGAGAGATATTGCTTGAGCCCGACCTTCTGAACTTACTTACTACTATAATCCAATGAGCACGAAAATGATGTTCCTTAAATTCACTCAACAGGTCTTCTGGTCACGTATGTCGCCTTGAACCTGATGGATGGACATGGGCAACCTGCTTTGCTTTACATCGTTCCTTTCACGCTTGGTAAGTGTTTGTGAGATTAAGAACGGGTGTGGATGCTGTAACATATATCACCGGCCTCACAAACCCGGACAAAATGTCATCTTTTTCGTTGTTTCTCTTACCATGTATCTGTTGCTTGGCTGCAGGCACCTTTATTACATTGGGAAAGAAAAGAGGTGATCTTGAAACTCTGTGGACAAGAGAACCGGAAAGACCTTGCCCGCATATGCAACTTCATCCCTTGCAACAAAAAGAATAATGGTAATAAACAATGAAAAAAATAAGTACCTCAAACTGTATGCCAGTTTTGGCTACTAGTACGTAAATCAGCTGAAAGGGTTTTACCCTTTTAGGTTGTGGAGAAGCATGTAATATTTGCAGTATTGCAAACACCTGTAGAAATTGACCTGTAGCAGATACCTCTTAATCCACTTCAGCTAATTATTTAGAAATTTACAGTTGATTGTGTAACCCTGTGATTAGATGATCACAAAGTAATTGATGAGTTCGAGATTTACCATTAAACCTGCTTAAAGACCGTCGTTCTGAGTGATATTTTGCGTGAATGTTCCGAGTGATGTGTAGGCTGTATTTAGGGCTGGACACGGTATTCAAAACCGATTGATTTTGACCTGACCTTATTAGGTTGTTTTTTTAAATACTTCTCTCAGGTGTTATTTTTTTTCCAATTAGATTCACATTTTATCAAATAAAATTAACTTTTTTTATGTATAATTATACAATAATATCGTTTTAAGTTTTCGTTTCAATACGCTAACTCCAACATCAAATTGAAGTTAAAATTTAGCTTAGATTTCGGTTTTACAATTGCAGATATATTGCTTTGCTATCTAAATATTGGGTTTCTGAATATATATGCAAACAGAATATAAGACTCATATAGTATTACACCCTTTGCTATATATATAAACATGGAAGAGGCGGTTAAAAAGGACAACTTGGCCAAAGAAGTTCCAGGAACAAGAAACAGTATCAATGATTTTGCTGCCATTGCTGAATAGCAGAACGAAGAGGAAAGTTAGGGATAAGATCGAGATGTTGAAGCCTGAGGTTTGTCATAGGGGAAGTATCATGGTCAGCCAGCCAATCCTGCAATGCCGGTGCTTCGTACGTATAACCATCGGCTGCCATATGCGGATCAGTCATAACTTCCTGCAACCCAACATCATCATGTGAATTACAAAACTGTGATTCGTTGGATTCAAATCTAATCCACCTAAAAGATAGATTTTCAAAACAATGAAGGAAAATATGGAGCTAACCTGTAAAATGGGACAGATGAAATAAGATGGAGGCTCGAGATTATCTTCTTTGGAGTCTGCAACATGTGATATCAAGGCTCCAGAAGGTTTCATTGTTTCAAGTACCTTGAAAACATCAGAAGCAAGATCAGGTCTCCGGGTTCGGTTTATATCACAGCATCTTATAGCCAAGTGAGTCAACTGAGCAACTTGGTGTGGCCAGTTTCCAGCTGAAGAATCCAAGAAGGAACTCAGATTTCCACCATTTAATAGCTCATTTTGTGCAATCTCAGCTATACCCTGAGTCGACCTCCCACTAAGTAATTGTAATAATATAACGCCAAAAGGGTATAAGTCCAAACTGTGAGATACACTTCTTGTCCTACGAAAATCGGGATCAAGGTAAGGATTAGCATTGCTTGATTCTGTCATGTTGTTTGAGTTTTCCAAAAGAGAAAGTGCACGATGAATTCCGAAGTCGGTAAGTTTGCAGCCAAGGTTTTCATCAAGAAGAATATTCCCAGGTTTTAAGTTGCCATGCACTTGTTTACCAGAATGTAAAAACATTAGAGTAGAACAAAGCTGAGTAGCTATATGCAACCGAGATTGCCATGACAGTGGAGGAATGTCGTCCCTGCAGTTCAAATGATCTTCAAGACTTCCATTAGGAACATATTCATAGATTAAAGCCCTTCTCCCAGGGCAGGCTCCGATGATAGTTACTAGGTTTGGATGCCTCGATTTAATCATATCATCAACCTGAAATACAAGAGAGCATACTCTATTTCACTCTATTGCAGTTATCACATTTTTGGTTCTAAAATCTGTACTCTCAGCAGTTGAGTGTTAGCCTTCAAACTGAAAGAACAACATAGATAAATTTAAAATGCCAGAAGAATGTGACTTTAGGTTTGGTTCCTTACCTCCTGTTGGACTTCAAAGGGATCTTGAAAGCTACTTCGGCCAAGCAACTTTACAGCTACTTCAGTGTGACGAAGGACACATTTATAATATACATTCCCCTGAGCTCCTTCTGCTATCTTATACAATTGGTAAAAGCCCTCAGTTGCTTCCTCAATCTCCGACAGAGAGAACTCTTTAAAGTGTTGCTGCAAATGAGAGCTTGAGTTATCTTCGGATTGTTTTCTTAAAAGCTCTTTGTTTATCCTACAAGTATTTTCGAGCTTGACCTGCAACTCATCTTTTTCTTTCTGGACAATCTGTAACAGGTCCAGATTGAATTGGTTCATATGTGTGCTTGAGGTCTCTTCTGCTTGTTTTCTCAAAAGCTCATCAATCACTCTACGACTATTTTGGAGCTCAATTTGCAACTCGTCTTGTTCTTTCAGGGAAACCTGTAACTGCTCCATAGCTGACGCTAATTCATCTTCTAATTGTTTCATCCTGCGATTTGAGTTGGAAGCTCGGGTCTCCAATATAGACTTTTGCTCCCTGGCAACTGAATGCTCTTCTTCTCTCAGCCTCTTTATCTTTTCAATGCTCTCCTTCTGTTTTGTGAGTGCTGTCTCCTTTTCTCTCTTGCATTCATTGTACAGCCTTTCAAATGTTTTCGCCTGCAAAAAAGGGTCAGGAATACTCAGGATTAGTAACCATTACAGGGCTGAATTTGAAACTCCATAAAAGAGGGAAACCAAGGCCTGAATTGCAGAAGACGTTACTTGGCGCATAGCTAAGGTGGCATTCATTTCAGCTTTCACACACTTGTCGGACTCTTCAAATGCTTTTCGATTTGATGATTCAACTTCCTGCAGCGCTTGTTCAAGCTGATCAAATAGTTGATCATTACTACTTCCTTCCTGCCAAAAAGCCATGAACCATTAGAGACATCAGCAACTATCAGTTCAAATTTGAAAATGCGTCATTCACAAAGTTCCAGTTCAAAACTAAGCTATAGTGATTGGAAAATGGTAGTGACGATGATCAGCATATGACTATTGAAAACATTAATAGTATACATTCTCAACATGTAGCTTTTATGGCAGATGAATACCAACTGTACTATAGTATTCCAGTATATTGGGGCATTGGATTAATGAATCACAAACCTCTCCAGAGCCAAGCATTTCATACAGCTCAAGCTCGCATTCACTCTCGTCTCTTTCGTCAAACACAGTCGATTCTAAAATACCAGCAGCTTCACTAAAGCTTGTCAAATAACTAGAAGCAGATGAACTTAATGCATTTGATGATTGCCCGGTTTCAAACCTGCACTAAATACCTTGAAGTCAATATAATGGAAGCAGTTGGAATGTGTAATATCACTTGTCATAATTTACTAAAGACAGAGAAACTTACACCAATTAGCTCAAAATCCGCATATGAAAAGTTCCAAAAGATAAGACAATTTAAAATCAGGATTCCGGTGATCAACGAAAAATTACCTTGTATGTACAAGGTGCTCCTTGCAAATGAACCAAATTTGACAAGAAAGTGGTGCGTTTTCATTCAGGTATTGTGCTTTCTCAGACATCAGCCACATTCCCCTAGTCAAGCTCAGCAGATGAGAGAAGAAAATAAGTAAGATGGTGAATGTTTAAGGGAAATGAGAACAATTCAATAATAAAGGTATTTGTACTCTGAGAAGCGCTCATCGGCAGCAGCTCCCATCACTAGCTTCTTGATATTGTGCCTACGAATCAGTTCCAGAATCCCCTTTGCAACATCATCCATCTGAATATCTATACTTATAGCACTAACCTAAACAATATTGAAGAACTGCTTATGGGGATAAAGCCTAAAGGGCAATTTTTTTGAATCTTCCAATGTATTCAACAACACAAATTCAATGTTCAGAATTGATAATGGGAAACAATTTACATACCTAATACTTCAAAACCCTGAAATTATAAAAGTAAATAGGTTTTTACAGAAGAAATAGTACCCCTGCTTGACTACAGAACAGAAGGGATTCATCCATGATCCGATTCATCATGTCCTTTCCAACTTCCTCTAGACCCCTAATTTGTCGTTGATCAAACATGATTTCATCCAAAAACCCATCAACTCCGTACACTCCATAAGGGAAAAACAGATTAAATACAGCAAAAAAATCCAAGAAACGATTATAAATCAACAGTGAGTTCTTACTGGATGAGATCACTCTGGAAGGCTGATGAACAAGAAGAATGCAAACTTTTCGAGGGTTAAGATTGTGTAAAACCCATAACAAAGTGAGCTCACTTCCTTCAACTTCTCCTACTGCAACGTATATCGTATCATCACTAGCCGTAGCCATGGTTGTTTCTGTTTAGCTCACTGAATCCACCTGCTTTGAAATTTGCAGAAACGGGACTCGGTTAAAAGGCAAAAACAAAGCAACCCATTTCTTTGCTCCTTTCTACTACCCTAAAAAGAGATACTAATAAAAGCTTCGAGGCAAGTTCCTAGTCAATACGGGGTCAACGAGACTATTTCATGCGGGACGAAGGAAAGAGATTCCCCAAATAACTACTGGAAGTTGATGTAGGTGACTTGTCACCGCAAAATCATTTTATAATATACTTTAATGGTTTGTTTAATAGTATTAATATCGAAAGGGAACTGTTGAATTCCAAAATCGTTTTTGGCTGCTGCCTGCTAGCAAACAAGGTTTCTTCTTTATTTATGGGATATAGTAGGAAGCATATTATTATTCCTGCCTTCTTTTTACCTCCTTGCTTTCTGTCTAAATGCGTGTATTTTGCCCTTTTGATTGAAGTGAAATCACTTTCACAACTACAAATGGGATAAAACAATCTTAGTCGACTGACAAATTTCTCAATTTAGTCCATAAACTTTGTTTTGATCCATATTAGTTTATGAACTTAACATTTTTTCCATTTTAGTCCTTTTATAATATAACGTGATAATCTCTCGATGTGTCGTATTATAAGAACTAAAATTAAGTCAAAATTTTAAGTTCAACGATTAACGTGAACAAAAATATTTGGAAATTAAGTTAAAAATAGGATAAATTATAGGTGATAAAAATATATTAAAAGTGTATTATATATATAATTATATTAAAAATTTATTAACTACAATTTAAATTATATATACGATGCCTTCTTTTCTAGTTTTGGACTTCTTATCTCTTCATGGATAGTCTTTAGATAGTTGGATATTAGGGTTTGACTACAAGATCAATAGGCCGAGCACCTAACCTATTCCAAAAAAAAAAATAAGTTTTATCTTCTTACTCATTTTTTATTAATCTGGGATGAATAAAAAATAATATATATTTAAATATTTTAATTATTTGACATTTAACGCTTATATCTTTGTATACATGATGTTCAAACTCAAAACCTCAAAAAATAACAATAATGTCAATTACCGAAGTCGTTTGATTTGTACTATCTTCTTACTCAAACATGTGACGTTGCATCAATTAACGAGAGCCTGCATATTATATTCATTAATTCCATTATATAACACATTCCATATATGGAAGTATTACAAAATGTAGGCTATAGGGAAAGAATAAGTCAGAGAGTTGATCCGCAAGTAATTTGCCACGTGTAATGAACTAAATATTCTCACAAATTATAAAAGTTATATTAAATAGGTCGTGTAATGGAATGATTATAATTTTACGAATAGTTAAAGATTAATTTTGTATCGACCAAGCATATTACTGCGACAGGAATGTGCCAGCATGCAAAAGGATTAATAATATTCGAGACCAAGCATTCAGTCGCAGAAATGTAGCTGCAAACCATGTGAATACAAATCTAGATGCGAGAATAAAAGTATAATCTTCGTCTTCCATATATATCTAAAATATCCCTAACAGACTTATTTTTGTAAACATTCGCTGCGAATCCCATTAACATACATGCTTTCCTTTAACTGAGCTGTGGAAACCAACAGTTTCCTGTACTATTGCTGAAGAAACAAAACCCTGCACGTAATAGACCATGTCCAATCCCCAGCTTCATCTTCCATCATTTGGACATTTGCATCTTAACAAGCTGCCTAAAAAAGAGGAATATAGATATACAAATCGACAAATTCAGCTGTTTTTTTCTAGCTTTTGGCTACTTAAGAAACAATTATAAACAATATATTGAAGCAAAATGATAGTATTGTATTTTTAATGTTGTTGCAGCCACTCCTGAATGGCAGATCGAAGAGCAAGGTTAGGGACTAGACTGGAATGTGCCAACTTATCATTTGTCATGGGTGAAGTGTCGTGACCGCTATCAAGCCAGCCTCTCACCGCCTCTGCTTCGTAAGTGAAACCGTCGGCTGCTACATGAGGATCTTGCATTACTTCCTGAAATGTTGCAAAATGGAGGAATAAAATTTAATTGAAGAACCAAGTTAATTCTTTGCAGCTAGTCATCAGCTTGTAGGAAATACAAGGTTAACTGCAAAAATGATTGCTTTTGAAAGATTATAATGATATTTTATATTGGATGTCTTAAGTTGTCCCTATAAATCATTTTCTCTCTCTCTTTTACCTAGTTCCATGAAGGTAAAGGGGGGATAACTTGATCATTGTAGGTGTGCCACTTCAAGAAGTATATGAAAGATCGGGGCAGCAGGAAAAGATTAGCTTACCTGGAAAATGGGGCAGATAAAATAGGAAGGAGGTTGGCAATGCTCTTCAGAACCCAGCTGAAATGAGGATGAGCCTCCACATGAAGCCCTCATTGGTTCAAGCACCCTCCACACATCTGTTGAAAAGTCTGGTCGACATTTCCGGTTCATTTCACAGCACCTCAATGCTAGATTAGCCAATTGCTCCGCTTGAACAAAAGGCCAATCTCCAGCCAAAGGATCCAAGAGTTGCATCAAATTTCCATTATCTAATGCATCTTGCAGTTCCTTTATTATACCAAAGGCTGGTCTTCCAGTCAACAACCGGAGCAAAATGACTCCAAATGAGTAAACATCAGCTTTTGGGGTAAGTTCTCCTGTTGAAAGGAACTCCGGATCCATGTACGCAAAAGTTCCCTTGGGGTCAGTTCTACAACAGACAGTTGTGTTGTTGCTTAGCAGACGACAGATTCCAAAGTCACTCAGTTTAGTAACAAAATTGGCATCCAGTAGAATGTTTGCAGGTTTCAAATCTCCATGCACTATGCCATGGGGCTTACTAGAATGAAGGAAGATGAGCACAGAACATAACTCGGTAGCAATACGGATGCATGTTTGCCATGATAAAGGTGGGGAATTATCTCTGCAGCTAAGTCGGTCTTCAAGACTTCCATTGGGAAGATATTCATAAACAAGAGTCCAAGCTTCAGGACAGGCTCCAATGAGAGTGACCATATTTGGATGCCTCATCTTACTCAAAACATCAACCTAAGACACGACAAAACTTGTAATCAGATACAGTTTGACTTCTAAATTTGCATTCTTTGCCACTTGCAAGACAAAATATTCTTTCATTACCCAAATACAAAATGCTTGATACTAACAATTACAAAGCAATTTAGTGTAAGTTCTTTGTTCTTACAGTATTGTGCATATGGCAACCTCCTCTTATTAGAAATAATGTATATTACACACACACAGCATGGTACTACTGTTAACAAATAGTTAAACTAAATCTTATTTATTAGAATGCAGAATTGCTTGAGACAAAAAAAAACAGAGATATTGTAAGACACAAAATACAGTTCCAGGATGGCGGACAATTAACTTTGAGATATGTATAAATAAGGCATGCCACAAACATAACCAAATAACATGTTCAACTCCATGTAGCATGGAATCCTTCCGAACATTAAATAAATCAATACTTATTGCTAACCAAAAAATTAATGATAATTAAATAATTCAAAACTTAGCAGACTATACCTCTTGTTGAAATTCCGATGGGCCTTGCAAGCTATTAGAATGCAACAGCTTAATGGCCACAGTGGTATGACGCAGAATACCCTTATAAATACTTCCATATCCCCCTTCCCCAATCTTCAAGGAGAGATCAAAGTTAAGAGTTGCTTCCTCGATCTCTGCAAAAGAGAACTCAGTGAAAGACTGATGCATATGTGCACTTGAGGACTCAGCTCGACTTTTCCGCAACTCTTCAGCCTCTTTGAGTGCATTATCTCGCTCCATCTGCAACTCCTCTCTTTCTTTCTTGTAATTCTGCAAAAGTTCAACAGCTGAGAGTATCTTCTCTTCGAGCTCCTCAACCTCCTTTTCAGATTCAGCAATTTGTTTTTCCAGTGATGATTTCTGATCCAATGCAACTTGTAATTCTATCATGACCTCATCCCGCTGGTTCATCATCTTCTCAAGTTCCTCTTTTTCTTTTGCTAATGCTTCCTCAATTTCTTTCCTTTGCTTTACCTCATGCGCATACAAATTTTCTGATGCTTTGACCTGTAAATTAGTAGCCTCGATTGGTTCTTTTACAAATACATTTAAGAATATTTTATAACAAAAATATTATGGAGGATTTACTTTTTCCAGATAACAACATCAGGTATTAATTTCTGACCATCTCCCAATACAGGAAGAAAATTTATGGACCTATTAGTTTGGGTGTGTGTGTGATTCAACAGAATCAAATATGAAAACTCACCTTGCGTATAACCTCAAGAGCATCTTTCTCTGCTTTTGCACGCCTCATTGCCTCTTCAAAAGCTTCTCTTCTTGAGTTAGTTGCCTCAGCCATTACTTGTTGAAGTTGGTCATACAGAGTATCATCGGTTCCATCCTACAAGAATGAATCAATCTTTTGTTTTCAAATAGTCTAGATATGAAAGAACTGGCACTACACCAAGCCGGTCGGTCAGTTTAAAAAATTTAGAGAGTGAAGCTTAAACATTCTCAGATGATAAATAAAAGTTTTGCACATACCAGAACACTGGGAAGAGATGATAGATTAAAATTCCCTTCAGCCCGAGGAATTAAACTATATTGTAATCCATTTTCATTTGGGACCAAATCTGCGTCAGCCATTCCATTGTAAGAACATGGTGAAAAAACTGAACTCTGAGGACTTCTTCTGGATAAACTATCACATGCATCAGAACTCCCTTCTACATCAGATCTTCTTTGTGGAGTTGATCTCCCTTCAGTACCACGGGGAGAAGTAAAGTCCAGTAAACTTCTCACACGCCCATGAACATTTGCAGATCTAGCTCTAAGTAATGAATCCGGGGCAATAGTAGAGGGTTTTACTTGACTAGTTGATTGCAGTATCACAGATTGTGACCTGAAGTGATTTTGCCCAGATTCAAGGTTTGGACTTGCTGGCAACGATGCTGCAACCTTTCTATCAGTTACATCTGAACTTGTGTCCCTGTTTTGATATTTTATTTACATTAGTCACCAATGCAACCAGTAACAGAACCATTTCATTATGTTGATATGCAAATGTACTCTTTCTCCAAAAAGTCAACAACAGACCAACTGGTCGAGGCATTCTGAAGAGACAAAAAGCTTGCTTCGCTTTTAAAGTTAGACCTCATCAAAAGCAAGCATACCTTGTGTAGATAAGAAGCCCCTTGCAGAGAAACCATATTGTATGGCAGGTAGAAGGTGCATTTTCACGCAAAAAGATGGCTTTCTTGGACTTGAGGTCAACAGCTTTCCTGCAATGGAACAGGAATACAGAAAAAACATCATATGTATGCTACCTAGTGAACAAGACATGCTAGTTTCTTAGAAGATCCACAGTATATCTAGTTGATAACATGTTGAGTTGAGGATGGATGATTACTTATGTGGTTTATACTTCGAATAATGTTTGTCTGCTGCTCCTCCCATTACTAGCATCCGGATACCATTCTCAAATACCATTTCCAAAATGCCCTTCTCAATAGAATCCATTTCGATGTACAGCCTCTCTGCTTGCACCTACAGTAAAATGACAGAATAACATATTAGAGAAACTTTTGCAAATGAATTGGTTTGATACTAGTAAACAAAACTTGAGGACTCAAAGGCAATGAACTGAAAGAGGAAATGATCATAGATTTATAACTTCAGTTAAATTATTCCTGGTCTTGACACGAAACCACTGAAAATTGCATCATAGACTCATATTAAGTGTTAATTAGTTGAAAATTAAAAACTCTTCTAGCATGAATCAAAATTCAACAACCATACAAACTAAGGTGAAAGAAGAAACTGATACTATAAACTCATAACCACTGCAAATGGCTGCCATAAACTCTTAATTTGTTCAAAATTACAAACTCGTCTAGCATGAATCGAAATTCAACAATAAGTCAGCAACCGTATAAACTAAGGTGAAAGAAGGAACTGATACCCCACGTTGGAGACAAATCAAAAGGTACTCATTCAGGATGTCCTGCATTTGTTTTCTTTCAATGTCCCAGTATGCCTTGACTTCCTGTTCTTTGAGTTTACTAGCTGGAAATTTTGTACCCACTGCAAAACAAAAACAAATAAAACAATTTATCAATTAGGATAAACAAATCAAGCAAGAGAAAATAATTTCAGTAATTGTTTCGGAATTATTCATTTCAACCACCCATCAATCGAACAATCACATCAACTGAGTTTCCCCCCCCCCCCAAAAAAAATCTACAAAATCATGATTGTTGAACAAAATCAACATTGAGTTCGTAAGTGTTTGATCCCTTTCTTTTACTCTAGACCAAAATCTGAACTTCAATAGAGACAAGTCAACTGAAATCAAACTTACTTTCAGTAACTGGAATCATCTTAGCCGGTTGGTGAACATGAATTATGCAGATCTTTTTCCCTCCCGAATGTTGTAAAGCCCAGATTAAAAGGGATTTATATTTTCCCACATCTTTCCCAACTGCGACATAGATTTTCTCTTCAATTATATCCTCCACCGTCTCCTCCACGAGTTCTCTTCGACTCGACATGATCCCTGGAGCTCTAACGTCACAAACCCTCATCGAATTCAGTCCTTGAGTTATTACGGGCGCAACACTCACCAGGGCCATGCTCGAATCAATAAAATAATCACAAAAAAGACATATTACAAAATTCTCAACTAAACTCGCCAAAAATCTATAGGAAATATAGCTTCTCCACACAACTTTGACCGATGAGCTAAAAAAGAAGAGAATTTGGAAAGATGCAGAGAAGATGGTGTGGAAGGTAAGGGTTTTTGTTTAAAAGGAAGTCATTGTCTGTATTTGTGATTGCGACGAAATAATAATAGGACAAGTAATGCAAAATTGAGTGAGGAAATGAATTTTTAGATAAATACTATGAAGACGGAAGATTGACGACTTCCATTTGTAAGAATTTTACGCGTTTTCTCCCTCTCTAAGGATCAGTTTCGAACTCTGTTCCTGATTTCTATGGGTGCGTCGAGTTTCATTTTATTTTTAAGGGTAAATTAAAAGGATGGTATTTTTTTAGTTTAGTTCATTTTTATCACTATATAATCAATTAATTCGTAGCATTTTAATTAAATAATTTGAAAATATTATCTCCTCAATTAGAGTCTCACGACTTCAGACAGTTAAATACCTTATTACTCGAACGTTTGTGTGTTCAATGCGTACTTCTTACTTAAAACACAACAAATTCGTCAAACCGTCTCCAGTGTAACTTTCATACATCTCAAATTAGTTGCATGTTGTAAAAACACCGTACAATAATTGCCCATATAGTATACTCCATGCTCAACCCAAGCCTTGCATCCAATTTTCTGTGTAGTCTTCTATTTTAATAATTGTCGGTCATTAAACTTCATATATATTATGATAATTGCCTGTATACTCCATTATAACACGAGTTGACCTTCAAACATATGTGTAACCTTCGCTTTCGATGATCATTGTGGGGTTTAAACTTCTTTTATCTCTGAATGAAATAGTTTTCATAGATCAAATTAAAATTTAATTGTTTTTAGTGTATTGTGTTAATTAAGTGGTATGATCAAAATATAATAATTTGATTATAAAAATGATTAAAAATAAATTTTTATAGTTGATAATAAAAAAATGGTAAATTACGTGTTTAGTGCTTAAATTATTAGTTTTAGTACTTAAATTTTTATTTTTTTTTCAAAGCCATATCTCAACTTTAGTTTTTATTTCATTTTAATAGCTCTTAAAAATTTTAGTTTTTGTTTTATTTTACTATCCCGTTAAAATTTAATAATAAGTTTTGAAAAAAATAAAAGTTTAGGTACTAAAGCGGACAAAAATTGATAGTTTATGTACTAAACGCATTAAGTTTTTAACTGTACGTACTAAAATGAAATAAAAACTAAATTTTAGGTATAATTTTGAAAAAAATAAAAATTTAGATATTAAATCGAACCAAAATTGATAATTTAAATATTAAATAGAATGAAAAACTGATAATTTATATATTAAACGTGTTAAATTTTTAACAAAGTTTATTAAAATAAAATGAAAATCAATACGTTAAGTATGATGATGTAAAAACAAAACTGAAACAAGATTAACCATTATTATAGTTACCCTATTTTACATTTAATTTTCAGTCTTCAAGAAGACGCTTCGACAGAATTTACCGTTGGGTCCCACTTATATTGCCTGCAAAGTGTGGGTTTGGGTTTCTAATCCGATATAGACACACTCAGACTTGCAATGCGGCACTTGCCTATTTTCTTTAATTTTTTATTTGCAATATTAATCCTTCAAATATTTATTTTTTATTAGTTTTAGAATAAGTACAAAGTATATATATATATATATATATATTTATATTTTTTTTTCAGAATTGTTCGGATGGAATTAAAAATATCAAGGCTTCATTTCAACATAAATTTACGATTACAATATGTTTTAGGCTAACATATCAATTAAGAATTAGGCCCGTTTTCTAATTGATCTTTGTACCTCCGGCCATGGGATCAATAAGTAAAATACCCTTTCATCCTTAATTTCTGGGCTAGTCAACGTGGACCCAATAATTTAGTTTTTGCTTCTTTTTAAGGTTTATATAACAAATAAGTACATAAAGTATATTATATTTTTATTTAACCATTTAAAATATTTTTTAGTTAAAATAATTATTTAATTTTTTTTTATCAAAATAGGTATCTAAAGTATTTTTTCAACCTAAAATATTCAACATTTTTTTATTAAAGTGCCTAAAATATTTTTTAATTAATGTCACATGTCAACTTTTTTAGAACTTAAATGAAAATTTTTGAATACTTAGATGTTTATTTTGACAAACGATTATTTAAGTACCTATTTTGACCAAAAAGATAATTTTTTATTGATAAATATGAGGTGAATACAAGGTAATATCTATTCAAATATAACTCTCAACCATTTGCCAATGAAAACTCATATCTCTTATATACAAAAAAGAAGAAGATAATTTTAGATGCTTATTTTGCTAAAAACTACTTTAAATACTTATATAAAAAAGATGATATACTTTAAGTACTTATTTATGATATAACATTTTTTAATTATAGGGTTAATGGAACCAGAAATTCCCAACTTGAGTTGTCGTTTTATAAAGGCTTAATTAGAAAATAAGTGTTCAAACTATGTCGTTTTTCTCAAATAGGTGTCTAATTTTTTTCGATTCATCTAGGTGTCTAATGTTATAAACGCTACCACTTTAGGTGTCAGAATCGTAACTGCTGTTAAAAAATTCCATTAAGTGACATGTGTCACATTTTGGTAATTTTGAAATTTTAAAAAATTAAAATTAAAATATTTTTTTATTCATAAAAAACCCCAAAAAAACATAAATATTAAAAAAAACCCCAAAACTTTGAAAACCTTAATTTTAGTCTTATACCCACACCTACCGTCGCTTTGGTCGCAGTTGTCATCGATCGAGCTTGTAACGCCCCAAATCCCGAGTTAGTAGTTTTAGGTAAACCTAAGTGGAGTCTAGAGTAAGTCAAGAGGCCAATTAAAAGCTTAGGTTAGTTTGTGCTTCTCATAAATTGGGCTTGAGCCCATTTAGACTTAAAAATATTATTATTATTTTGTTAGGACCAAAGTGATAATTTTCCCATAAAGTTCTCTAAAGGTTGATTCCATTTATTGAAGCTTATGTCATGTAAGGAGAAAATTGTCTCATTGTCGTCTTCTTTCTCCTTTTTCAAAATCTTTCATTCTCCTTCTTTAAGTTTAACAAAGGTGAGAACTTGTTGACCCTCAATCGCATTTCAAAATTTCTAAGGTAAAAAATAAAATCCCTACACCCCAAGCTTTTATTCAAGCCTTTTATTTTAAGATTTGACCATAGAAACCCTTAGGTGGAGAATTAAAGTGAGTTTTAGAGTTTCTTAGTGCTCTCAATTCATTTTAGAGGTTTGGAATCATGTTTGTAATCTTCTTAAGCCTCTAGATGAGTTAGTAACTCATTCTTTTCTTTGTTATAATTAATGAAAGAGATTGGAGAATTCCAAAACCAAGGGTAAAAAGAAGTTGGTTTTTGGTTGAGTTTAGAGACATTTCAACAACTAAACACTAATTTAATATATTTCTATTCTTCTTATACCATTTGTGGACCACTAAGTGCACTTGTTTAGCTTGCATTAGTTTATGAAGCATATGAGTTTATTCATGGTGGATTCTAGTTTAAGATGTTTTAAAGTATGCAAAATGACTCCACATGACATCGATCAACTTACATAAGACTTAAACATCATTTGATGGCCTTAAGAGGACGAATAGGTAGTGTTAGGTTATATTTTCGTGTCCAAAACATGGTATTTATGGACTTGAATATCGATATTGAATGAACAGTATCGATACTGCCCTTCGTGTAGTTAAAATTTGTAAGGTATCTTGGCCGAGAGTATCGATACTGCTGATAGGGTATCAATACTCAAGGGGTAGTATCGATATCATTATTAGATTTTGAATTCTAGTAGCCAATTTCTGTATTGATACTCAATGGAGTATCGGTACTGTACTCCTCATAGGGTATCAATATTCAAGGTGTAGTTAAAATTTGGATTCTATGTAATAGGTTGGATTGGTGGATGTTTTCTATGTAGAAATTATAGACCCCACCATAGGTAGGCCAGAGGGGTGTGTGTCGCTGAGATGTAACAAAACCCTCTGACCACACCATGATGCCTATCTTTGTACGTATGTTTAGCTTAGCATCGTCGTATGCTAATATCTATGTTTGCTAGCATGAATCACGTAGTGGACTAATGTAGTATAGTTTGCTTATTACTGAGCTTAGAGTTCAGAATTTGTTTCCTTGCGTATGTTCTTAGGAGGAGCGTTCGAGCAATTTATCGCATAACCCGTATTCCAGATAGATACAAGCATTAGATTACTGAGCTTATTGTATTCGAGTCGTAACTGCATTTTGAAATACTCTTTTAAAATAGTTTGGATATATTTTAGGGCTCCCGTATTTGTAAACTCAAACACTACGCTTTTACTTTGTGTTTATGATGGATGACTTTTAATCGATTTTTTAATTATTTTAAAAAGAAAATTTTGGGTTAACCACTATAGTGGTCTCATGTAACGATTTAGCCCGTCAATCTCTGGGTTGTATCAGATTATGACATTAAAGAGCCTACCCCCAAACATGCCTCCACCTAGCGATCATTTACCCCCGAACAACCAGTTTTAAAACGACACCCAAGGGATGAAATCAAAGGTAAAATCGACGAAACAACGAACTCGATTAAGCTCCAGTCAACTTCAGTTATGGTGGCTCTTTGTCGGGAAAATGATCGTCGAGTGGACGCGCGATCGGGTAGAGGTTCAGTTGATGGTAATGACGACAAGATTGATGGTCAGTGTGGGTTTAGGGTTTTTCAAAGTTTGATGTTTTTTTAAAGATTTTCAAAAAAATTGGATTTTTAAAAAATATAATTTTAATTTTTTATTTTTTATAAAATTTTCAAAATTATCTGAACACGACACATGTCCTTTAACGGTAAAATTTAACGGTATTATAATAAAAATACTTAAAATTATAACGTTTGTCACGTTAAACACCTAGATAAATAAAAAAAAATTAGACACCTATTAAAAAATATATAATTTGGACACTATTTTCTAATTAAACATTTTATAAATAGGCAAAAAAACTCGAAACCTAATCACTTCCTCCTTGTGCGGCCGGAAAGGTTAGACTCAGCCGCCCTTCTAAGTTCCATGTCTAATTGAAACTTGACATCTTTCCAGGGTTTCGCAAGCTAATTTCCGTTCTATTTTTTCAGCTTCGAGGTTCTCCAGTTGATTTTGTGTCGGAGCTGTTTTGTAGGTGAGAAAATAAGCTGAAAATGCTACTTTCTCTGCTTTTGTTGTATTCAATTTGTCTCTTCTTTATTTGGAAATATCACCTCTGATCTTGTTTGATGTTTAAATTCAAAATTCCCGTAAGTAACGTAGAGCTGGGGCTTTGATCCTTTCTTAGTTTCGAGTAAACGAATAAGAAGTGGTTGAAGGCTCTAGAATTTACAGATTTTAAGCTCTACTTTCCCGAGAAAATTCTCTTGATGCAGTAGACTGGTTCCAAAACTACAATCTGAAGTTCATTTCTTTTGTTTCTCAGAAACTTTAATCCATATTCAATGTTGTATTTGAAAAACTAGCTATTCCTTCCAGTATTAAGAAGTTAGGCTGGTGGTCAAGTCCATGAAAATGAGGAAAACTAATTGTGACATACTTTAATGGTAGTGCTGAATTCAATTTGATGAATTTTAGTCATCTGATTTTTTCTTTGTAGCATTAATCTTATATTCGAGTTTCTGCGGTGATCTGTTGATGTAATTTCTTAAATGTGATTCACTGGAACTGCAAAAAGATTTTATCATTTCTCTGAGTAGATAAGTTGGATGGTTCTATAGTTTGTTTAGTGTGTTCTAAAATTGTATTGGGTTTTAAAATTTTCATATTGGATGGATAATAATGCTCATGAAATTATTAAGTGTGCAATGTAATCCCAAATCCCCAATTATTTGCCATGTTGAATTGTCTTGAAAACCACTACATTGTTAGGTCCGGAGCAATACTAAAGCTGCTTTTTCTTTTGGTGTTAACCATTCTTTGTGTATAACTAAGGGGTTGTTTGTTTGTCTCTTAATAGAATCATTCAGGGTTGTTTCTTTGTGTTCAACATTCAGCGCATTTGTTTCGCACCTCTGAATGATTCAGTGCTAACTGATTCAACAAAACAGTGCTGAATGAATTAGCACAGAAGTACATTCTGAATGATTCAGCACAGAAGTACATTCTAAATGATTCAGAGCCATTATCAAACAACATATCACATTCAAAGTTAATTCATACAGAGTCTCTGAATCATTCAGCATTTGAATCATTCAGCGCTTAATCATTCTGAGGTAAACAAACAGCCCCTAAATCTGTAAACATTAATAATTTAAAGATAAACAAGTCTTCTCCCTGATCGATGGGTAAATTCGAAAGATATATAGGCACACATCTACTGCTCTTTACTTCACTATACATGTTCGTTTGGGATCTCCAATGCTAATTTATCGATAAGTTGTTTTATGGAATTCACTTGCCTTGGAATGATTTGTTATCTAACTTGTCATGCTCTTTGGCTTTGATGGTTCTTTTAGGTGATGACTCCAAGTCAACCTAATACTGGCCTTTTTGTGGGCTTAAACGGGGGACATGTTGTTACCAAGAAGGAATTGGCTCCCCGCCCTTCAAATCGAAAGGGTGTAAGGTCCTAGTATTAGAAGTTCTCATGAAGTTGCATTCTTGATTTTATACACTTTTCAAGTCTTCTTTTCTCAAAAGATGGAGGAAGGTCCTATGATTAAGGCTTGTTAAGTTACTTTAGGGGGTAGCTCCTTTTTCCTTTGGAACCTCATAATATAATGTTCATGTTTTTATTATTTTTGTAACCTACCTTATTATTGCCTAATTATATTCTCTGTATTGCTGATATGATAATGTGTTTCTTGTTGTACAAAACCAGCAAAAGAGTCCACTTTGTGAGGAGTCTAATTCGGGAGGTTGCCGGTTTTGCTCCTTACGAGAAGAGGATAACTGAACTTCTCAAGGTTGAGAAAGATAAGCGTGCTTTGAAGGTAGCCAAGAGAAAGCTAGGCAATCACAAGCGGGCAGTGGCGGATCCAACAATTTAATAATAGGAGTCTAAAATTTTAATTTTCTTTTCTTAAAAATAATGGGTATGCAAAAATTGTAATTTTTTCTCTTTTTCCTTAACACAGTAATTTAAATTTAACCACTTTTTTAAAATAATGGATGCACTTGGCCCCTATGGGGCTTAGTGCATCCGTCACTGCAAGCGGGCCAAGAAGAAGAGGGAGGAGATGTCGAGCGTCCTCCACAAGATGAGGTACATAGTCGATCGTTGACTGCCAAATAATTTTTTTTTCTTTTCGAAATCTTGATTGGGACCTAAATTTTTGTAACATGATGATGCATTTCTTGTGTACTTTTGCAGGTCGGCCGGAGGTGGATAGAAGAAGTGAGTTGCTTTAAGGCCGTGTTTCATAAACTGTACTGGGTTTTTAGATTTGTTATCATTTCTGTTCAGTTTTGTTTTAAGAATTTTGTCTGATTCGGATGGCATTGTTATTCCAAATTTCCAATCCCAGCTCGATTTAGACTGTTGGTAATATTTCTTCGTTTATGACCATTCATTCATCCTAAGTAAACAAGGAAATCTAATTCAGAACAAAAGGAGTAAAAAAAACTCTAATTTCGATTGAAAAGAGAAATCTAATTGCTAAATTATTTTGTAGTACTAGAAAAATACCTGCTCATTACGTTTCACAAAGTCGGATTAAATTTTAAAAGACCATTGTTGCATTTTGGACCAAACTCAAATACGATGAGATTTGAATGTAAGACAAGTTTTGAAGGACTACTTGTTGGTGTAGTTTAGTCGGGGTATTGATCATCTCTTTAAACATTTATACAGAAAATGTAGACAAAGAATGAGAAATTGTTTTGTAATTCGAATCAATGATTGCATTTTGTGTAGTCTTACTTAGAGAGAGACGCATTTTATCAGTACAAAAAACATTTTAACAACTTAATTCTTTCCTGTTATAAATATGTGTCCTATGCAATATATAACCTCACAAATCTCTCGACTAAATGATTTTTTTAATCGAATATCTAATTTCAATAATATAATATATTGATCTTCATGAAGCAATAGAAAAAAACAGTAAATAACATAAACTCCCTTTAGAAACAACATCAACTCAAAAAAAAATACAGAAAATAACTCCCCTAACTGTTTTTTCTCCTCCTATTAGATTGTATTATTTTCGATAAAAGGGATGGAACAAAGTGACTTCATCAAGGATGTGGTTCATTAAACATCAAGTATCCTCGCCACAAGACTTTGATCGAATATATTCAACATGATCGACCTTAATATCTTGAGAATCAAACAAGTCTTTGATCTTTAGAACTAACTTGAAACATAATCTTTTCTTACCCACACTTTCTTTTTAAGATCTTGAACTTCACTGATAACAACTTCATTTTGATTCATATGGTTGCATTTCCTCTAACCATATTTATGGTCTCTATACCTATTAGTGGAGGGCTCAATGACTATTGGTCGAACCACTAACCACTCCATGAACTATTTGTTCCCTAAACTATATATGTTTTATAGAGTACCTTAAAATCTAGGTTTGTTATTTCAAATTTCCTTATATAGTCGGAGATAATAATTCGTCCCCAACAATCGAAACACTACACTTTTTTATTGTACCAAACATAAGGCGTCATACATTTAAGTATGCAACCATTCAAAAAACAATCATTACGATGTTTCTTCAAAAATGATCTATTAAATGTCAATAGTACTTCAAATAATAAATATCGAGTCAAGCTACTTTATGACATTCCCCCAATTATGGAGGATAAATGTTGTACTTTCTCCTCCATTCCTCCATAAGATTGATTTTTGCACATCAAGATCTCCGGAGAACTCCTCTCCCGAGGATAAAGACACATCAAGGCCTTCATAATACTCTTCCTTCAATTCGAGAGAACATCTCAAGACGCAAGAGCTATGTGCACTCATGCAGTTACGACCCGTTGTTATGACCTTTGACAGATACCACATTATTTGTTAGGATAGACATCATGTGTTAATCTGCTAACATATGAATAATTATAATGAGTCATTAATGACGATACACTTGATATCAACATTTCTCGATTAAGATTAAGAGAAGGATCTAAAACCACTTTCTTCACTCATCCCTCTTCTACCTTCTTATAGAAGACAAAAGACCTAAACACCGATTAATTGACGTTGAACCACTCACCACAACTCACCCAAATAAAACCATCTTGTTCCTATCAACAAAAAAAAAAGCATATCTTACAACATGATATATCTAAAAAAACATAGCAAACCTAGAAGCGCACGCCTAATAAAACCCACAAACCAATCCGACATCAATCAAGCAAAAACCAAAAGCCCCAGACCAAAAAGTTTGAGGTCATCCTCAACACTAAACAAGTAGTGAAATAAAATAATGATAATAACAATAATAGCACAAGTTTTTTCGATTTGAATGTGCCGGCAGCATCCGTATAACTGATACAAAGGGTGCAATTCTTGGAAAAACAGGTAGAAATTGTCTTGAAAAGCTCCCATTTATATATAAACCCCACACTACTTGCTCAAAGTGACAACACTAACAGCAGTAAGAAGAAGATGAACATTCATTTTGCTTCAAGTATCTTCCTTCTCATCTGCTTTCAATTTCTCATCATCATAAATTTGTTTATTCCTAAAGTAGACACTTGTGCTTGCCATTCCAGTGGCAGTATAATAGGCAAGGCTCCCCCTCCAGGAACATGCAATCTGGAGGACAGCTCTGCCTGTTGCGTCGACGGTCAGGTTTACGACCTTTACGATTGTTCGCCCCCTGTTAAACGCCGTACAAAGGCAAACCTGACCCTTCAAAGCTTCGATTATGGCGGGGATAAAGGTCGGCCAGCTGAGTGCGATCAGAAGTACTACGAAGATGGTGACCTCGTAGTGGCGCTTTCAACGGGATGGTTCGATCGTGAACGCAGATGTTTGAAGTTCATCAACATCCGTGGCAATGGAAGGCGTGTTAGAGCAAAGGTTGTCGATGAATGTGTGTCGAGCGGGGGGTGTGATGATGCTCATGATTACGAGCCACCTTGTGGTAACACCATCGTTCGTGCCTCCAAAGCTGTTTGGAGTGCTCTGGGAGTCCCCGATACTCAATGGAACAGATTGGATATACATTGGTCCGATGCATAACATATTTATGTCGGTTTTCAAGTATTTGCTGATTGCAAGGCTTTGGAGTGTCCACGAAGACATATTCATAAAGTTTGAGACTGTGTCATCCTCAATTTTACTCTGCAACTTGTCTAAACTATTAGCATCGTTTTTTTTAAATCTTTGCCATATTTTGCTACAACTGGCTGTGAACCGCCCCGTGTCTATGTTCCTGATTAAAGCATTTGGATCAAGGTTGTCTGTAGGGGTATTCAAAATTCGGTTTTAATCGAATTAACCGACCGAATCGAATTAGTTCTGTTAATTCGGTCGGCCACCGAATTAATTCGGTCGGGAAACGGTTAAGGATTTTTTTAGAATTCGGTTAACGGTTAATTCGGTTCGAAATCTGTTAATTAACCGAATTAACCGAATTAACCTTCTAATATAATTATATTAAGAGGCCAAATCCATTTAAAACCTAAATCAATATTAATTAATTAAAATAATATCAAAACTAAATGCAAAATGTTTGAATCAAATTAATTAGATATTATTTATAATTAGATATTATTTAAATTAATTGTAAATTGTTTTTTTAATTAAAAAAATATTAAATTCTAAAATTCTAAAAAATTTCGGTTAATTCGAAAATTAACCGAAATTTATTCGGTTCGGTTAATATTTTCGAAAAAAAAGTTCAGTTCGGTTAACGGTTAAAGAAAAAAAATTCGATTAATTCAAAAATGATAGTTCGATCAGTTCGGCCATCGAATTAATCGAATGAACACCCCTAATTGTCTGGGTGGTGTAGTTGGTTATCACGCTAGTCTCACACGCTAGAGGTCCCCGCTTAGAAACCGGGCTTAGACATGTATTAATTTCCTTTTTATTTTGCCCAATGGCCAAATAAAAGGCCAACGTAACATGAATATCAGCTTATCTTCCATCATTGTCAGCAAGCTTTACGACATAAACTTTTGATCACAGCGGAGATGGCAATCCGCTACAACTACAATGTGACTAACATTACCACTTTGGTAATAAACTTGTGGTGTGACGCTGTTTCCAATAGTGTCAGACTATTACTCAAACAAAATATGAACGTTTTGATACAAGAATACAAACATAAGTTTATACGATCAATCACATCACAACTCATTTAACTATTCAATACATTTATAATTGATTATTTACTCTTCGTTGAGCTCAAATCGAAGAAAATTTTAGCTTTTAAATATATCACACAACGATTTATATATCATCATTGTCTAGATTTCTGTGATTCATTGTTTTAATAAGTGGTTCATGCATAAATGTATATAGCCTAAATATTGTCTCCAGCGATCGAAACTCACACTTGTAGAATTTAACATATAATTGAATCCCTTATAGGTTATAAATGCAATATAAACTAAAGATAATACAAAAATAAGATCAAAAGATAAAGAGAAAACAAGATACATTTTTTTTCACAAAGATAAAAAATATTGATTTGCTACAATTTCCGGTGAAATCTTTTTCTCAGCTAAGATTTTTTTCTAAAATAAGAACATGTTTATAAAAATGTATCCAATTAAGATTTCATCACCAAAATAATATAAGCTTTTTGTTTGTTCAATAATCTGCTGGGCATCAATCGTTAGAGATGAGTTTGGAATTACAACTAAGAGTTGCAAGCTCGTCGTCTTTGTATGTGTAAAGTTTTTTTTTATTAAAAACTCCTGAAATGATAACTATGTAAATATACAAGTATTTTGTTGTATTATATACTAGATGTGTTTGTTGTGTTAATTTGTGAAGTACGGCATTCATTAGTATGCTGCATAAGCAAAGCATGTGATGTATATGATAAAACCACCTAGAACATGATATAGGCCTTAAGATGGGTATGTTCATGGGCATAAGCAAATGGTATGTAAAAATGGAAAGAAATGTTATATGTTTATATTTTGGTATATATATATATATATGGATGAAACCTTCGTGAAATCGATGATACGTTGTATTATTGAGATGTCATTCATCTTGTTATATGTTTCATATAGTTTAGACAAATTAATTAAATTTTAACAAGTTGAGTAGAGTAAGACTCAATTCGATTCGACAAATTTACGAATAATTCATTAACTTTTTTTTATAATTTTTATTAATTATTTTATTAAAAAAATCTAATTAATAATTTATCAATTTACTAATTAAAAATCAAATTGTTTTATATGTTCCATATAGTTTAGGTAAATTAATTAAACTTTAACAAGTTGAGTGGAATAAGATTCAGTTCGAGCAACTTCTTTTAACAAACATAAGTCGGGTAAAAATTTAATTGAGCTTAAGAATAATTAGTGAGTCGAGCAACAAATTTTTTTAATTAACACAACTCAAATATTGCTCAGCTTGGGATCGATTCACTCGAAAAGTACTATCATTGATGAATCCAGAAATATTTTTGAGAGTGATACATATTAAAAATATAATTTTTTATACGTGAATAGACACGTCACACAAATAAACACAATCATTAAACTTTAAATTTCAAGATGGTTAAAATAACATATAAATCCCTTATTAGTACCCATTAAAAGTTCCACGGGTTATATATATATATATATGTGTGATTATACTATATGTATAACAAAACAAACTAGGTTCAATGGTGGCATCGCCTTAATAGGCAATAAAACCTTACCATATAATTCCTTTGGGCATAAAATTAGCTTCAACATTCAAGCACTAAAGGGCAAAATATTTATGCAAATCATATGGTTGATATTTCACTCAACATTGTAGCCAAGTAGTATCATCTTCCAAGAAGCACATGTCAATGTTAATGGGAAAATCCAACAGCAATTGCAGCGCAGTGTCGGATGAATCTTCCGACTCGTTCGAAAACGAAGAGAAAGATGCATCAATGGCATCCTCAATTTGATTTCTTGCTGTGGTTGAAGTACTCGAAGACCCTGCCATGTTGGGACAAACATCGACCGTGACACCCGAAACCGATCCGCATTTCATCGATGATGACGAAATCGGGCTCCGGCAATTGATTTTAGCTTCTCCGTTCATGTTCCGAAATGATTCTCCGACTTCAGAGTTCCATAAGCGTAAGAAATAGTCAGGGTTGGGTTTAACCAATGGAGGTGGTGAGTTGAAGAAGAGTGACCCTTTGGAAAGACGAGCCTCGGCTTCGAGCCTAGCACTCTCCCATTGAGCCATGTGACGAGTGGTGGAATATGAACGGGGTGCAGTGGTTGGACCACAATGGGTGAACGGCTCGTGTTTCAGTGGGTCAAGTCCCATGCAAAGTAGGCGTTTCTTTAAGTGAGTGTTCCATAGGTTCTTGATCTCGTTGTCCGTTCGTCCTGGTAGTTGAGCAGCAATGGCTGCCCACCTGGAATAATAATAGTTTGGTAAGCAATAAGGAATCAAATATGTGGGTGACTAAATAGGAAATTTACCCAAGAAATTAATAAGCTAAGAAATAAAGGAAAAACCTGTTTCCCAGAATGGCGTGAAGCTGAATGACGAGCTTCTCTTCGTCAACGGTGAAGGGGCCGCGTTTTATGTCAGGCCTAAGATAATTTGTCCACCGGAGCCGGCAACTCTTGCCACAACGACGAAGACCTGGAAACGAATCACCCTCATCGGATAAAATCAAATCTCACAATCAAACCAACAAATTAAAAAAAAAATGAAATTACCAGCAAGCTTAGGAAGAGAACGCCAACTTCCATGGCCTTGCTCCTTGATGTAATTGATGAGTATCTCATCTTCTTCAGGACCCCATGGGCCTTTCTTCAAATCTTTCTTATCACAACACGGCGTCCTCCCCATTCCCCTTTCGCTTTATGATCTATCAATGAGATGAAGAAAAAGAAGAGGGTGAGAGAGATTGTTTTAGAACAATGAGAGTTTGATGTTTTCAAGGCAAGTTAATAAATAGAAGAGACGACGATCAGTGAGTTTCAAACTGACACGAACACTGAAATTCAATTAATATGGGAGGGTGTAACACAAAACAGTGCATGGATATGTATTTATGTTTGACGAATACTGCATTGAAGGAACACTTGAAAAATCCCATCATTGAGGGAAGATTAAAAAAGGAAAAAGGTTTGGGATTGGGCTGCTTCCTTCTTTTGAGGTTTCTGAGTTACAGAGACAAGTGGAGAGAAATAAAAGAAGAGAGAGCATTAATATTAATAATAATGGGATTCTTGTACCACAAGTATATATAAGATAGCAAAACTTTCGAGATAATGTTCTTGAAAAAATTAATTCACGAGATAAAGCACTCCCAATATTAATTGCTTAAATAAGGTGAAATTCACAGTGTTGGCCGTAAGTCGCCATGCCTTCCGGGCGACCTATTAGGTCGCTATGCCTTCCGGGCGACCTATTAGGTCGCCATGTCTTCCCGACGAGCTATAATAGATTGCATGTGCCATGCACGTCCCAACACGCTGGGCATCTGAGGCCATCCGACCGAGGTCATCCGAGAGCATCCGAGGCCATCCGACCGAGGCCATCCGAACGAGCTATGCGAGGGCATCCGAGGGTAACCGAGCGAGCTATGCGAGGGAATCCGAGGGAAGCCGAGCGATGGTAGGTCGCCCGGAGGGCATGGCGACCTATGTGTTGGGACGTGCATGTGCAATGCAACACGTTCATTCTCACGTTCATTCTCTCTGTTTGAGCAAGGGTAGGTCGTCCGGAGTGCATGGCGACCTACAAGGTCGCCCGGAGTGCATGGCGACCTACGGCCAACACTGTAGATTTCACCATATTTAAGCAATTAATCTTGGGAGTGCATTAGATCGTGAATTAATTTCTTTCATAACATTATCTCGAAAATTTTACCATAAGAGAGAGAGAGAGGGCAAATGAAACCAACGTGCATGAGATGTACGTACTAAGTGTCATAACTCATCCAGAAAATTAAATAATATAAGGGGGTAGTCATTTCAATTGAGAAAAGCATAACAATAAATATGGTCAGTGCAATTCAACCAAGGTCCAAGGCCCATGGCCGGGCCTAGCACAATATAATTTTGTGGTCAAGTGATGAGGAGCAGATGGTGGTGTGTAATAAATACTTTTCGTCATCTGCAGATGATCCAATGTGTTCATGAACTCATGTATAACTTCATACACATAAAAATTCGACTCTTATTATTATTATTATTATATATAAATAACAAGGTAAATAAAATTTAAAGTAAAATTTTAAATTTAAATTCATTATACCTGACCATTCAGAAAAACTTTGATTTCAAATCTAGATTTGAAACAAATATAAAATTAAAATTATAAAATAGAAATGATAAAATTATTTGATTTTAATATTAATTAAATATTTAAATTAGTAAAATAAGATTATCATTAGATAAAAAAATGGAGGAGATACCCTCCTATTCTCTTTATAATTTCATCACTAATTTTACATTCTAATATAACATTTTCACGTAAATAAATGTTTTTTCTTTTGATTTCGTAATCTCATGTTTCGATGAATATTAATTAAAAATGAATAATCTTAATACCACGTCTTCATTAGACAATGTAAGATTTAAAATATTTTCTTCATTGTTTTACGTGTTCCCCTTCCATTTTATAATTTGTCATTTTTATTCATTCGTTTTTTAATAATATTTTGATTTTTTTAAAATGATGATAAATTTAATTGAAATATTAATTTTACTAAAAAAGTTCTTTTAGTTTAATTTAATAGTTTTTTTTTGAATAATTTGAGATGCTTATAATATAGTATATATTCATAATCTTCATTAATCATTGACAACACATATACACATTGTAAATGCGACAACTTGAATCTAATATCTCAGGAGAAAAATAACTTTATCTTTAATCACTAAAATCATTTCTTTTAATTTAAATATTAATTTTACTAAAATAATTTCTCAGTGTAGTTTAGTAGTTAAGCATTGTACTTTTTTTTAATAACATGCATTGTAATCTTTCAAAAAAGGTATTGGGTTTAATTCCTCTCCCATTGCCGCATCACTATATTTTTCTTGAATAACAAAATAATTTACCCTAAAAATTATTATTTAAGAATCAAATTTAAATCTAAAAAATTAAATACAAATATTATTTCTCTTCACCTGTAATCAATCATTAAAATATTTTTATAAATAAATAAATAAATATATTATAATTATTGAATACATTAACAATAAAAAAATTAATATCATAAACAAAAATAAAAACGCTAGACTTACGAAATTTAAAAACAAATGTATAAAATAAGAATATATTTTCAGCTTGATGGAGAGATTTATATAAGAAAGAGAAAAGGGATGCAATAAATGTAAATTGTGGAAAACTATTTATTTGCATTTAAGTTGTGGGTGGGCAACTCGTACGAATGCCTCGAAAGTGGGAATAATTTGGGAGGATCCGTTCCCTTGCATCGCCATCTAAGAAATGAGACAACGTGACCTACCTTCCAAATCCAAGGATGGGATTTCTCCTACACTACTCGATGGTCAGTCAGTCAGAATTCCATACCCATTATGCATTCAATAATATTCTAATTCAAATAGCACATAGTTTTATTTTGCCACAGGAAAATCTAAATTAACTTGTTTGAATTTTAACTTTGAATTATCATTTTATTTTTTATAAAAGTTTATACGATCTATAATAATTTTAGTTACAACAAAAATGCTACGTTACAATGATTTTTAAATTAAAATATTATCATCTCTACTTCTATGTACCCAAAAATATTATCATCTCTACTCCTGGATTTTTAAAAGCGTGGCCTAGGGCCGCCTAGGTGCGAGGCGCAAAGAGATGATGAAGAGAACGTTCTCCTTTGTCAGAGCGAGGTGTTCTATAAGAAGTGTTGTGAGGTGCGCGACTATGGGCTTTAGGTGAGGGGCGCACACTTCTTCCGCCTTAGGGGTAAGGGATAAAACACCAGCTACTGAAGATTATTAGAAGTTTATACATTGAAGAAAGCCAAAGAAATAAAGTAAAAGATAACAATATAGTGAAAGAAGAAGAAAGGAGAGTTGAAGTAATATAGACGGATAAATCTATTAAGTAGCAATGATGTGTGAATACACGAGCCACATTAATGACAGAAGTTAAGGCGTTGATTCATGCGATGAGATCACACACATTTTTTTTTTGTATAATGCATGAATCCAATAGTGAAGTGTAAACACACGAACCACATTAATGGATGAATTTAAGGTAGTCTAAAATACAACCGATTAATATAAGTAAAAAATTATAACTGGTTATAACTGAAAAACTTATAAAGTGTGCAGCTCTTTAGAGTAAATTGAGTAATATTTTAGGTTGAAATTGAAAATATTACGTTCTCTATAACAAATTATGTAAATTGTATAATTATTAGGGCTAAACCTATAAAATTACTGTTAAGAACTCACGAAATATTTTTAGTTGTAACTACATGTGTAAGTTTTTAGAGTGATTTTTAAAGGCGCAAGGCATACTAAAATGCAAATAAAATGCAAAAGGTTCATGGAGTTTAGGCGCAGGCGTGCGAAGTTATATGAACTATTTATATAAATCACAGATTTAGATGTCAAAAGTAGAAAAAGTCGAAACCAAACTGGAAATGCAAATATGATGTATCAAGCAACAGCCAACACTATTCTTAACTGTGAGATGCTTTTTATTGAAAATGCACCAACAGAAAATAAAAACAACATAAACTTCTAGCACAAGCTACACTTCCATCATGACCAGACAGTACTAAACCATAATTTAACTAGATCAAATGCAGAACTCATCCAAATTCTCTCCCTAGTCTGCTATATCCTTTGAACATTTGGGGACTATGAAATCTGACACATCAATAAAAAAAAAGCGTTAAAGGATACATGCACAAAAGAACCAGCTAAAACGTCTTCCACCAACACCACATATTTCAGAATAGATAAGCCCACCCCGTGTGCAAGCACGGGCACCTTGATTAAGCAGATCTTCATTAATCCTGAAAAACATGAAGCAATTGCACATCATCGATGATAAATTACAATATAGAGAAATCAATTGCACCCGATCATTAACTTGACTAGAGGGTGGTTACTCACCATTGTTACCGCTGTAGGCCAAGCAAGAAACATCCACCATAAATCACCGACAGTATATAGCCTGATCGATATGTGGAGGAATTTGCTTAATTTCAGTCCCAAGTTCTTGTTCAATCCTATACCTGTTGGAGAAGAACATGCAAACATCTCAACAAATCAGAAGAGCCTAAATGCTTATAGCACTATAGTTCCAAAAACAGTTGGAGATGTAGCAATATACAGGTTAAAACGATCTTCGTAAGTGATCAAATTCACAGCTAGTCCAAGATGACCAAACCTTCCTGATCGACCAACCTGCTCATTAAGAAGATAGTCATGAGGATTGGCAAAAGGAATATATAATCGTTAAAAAGTGTTGTTAGAGAGAAAAATAGATAGGTAACATACCCTATGGAGGTATGTTTCAGAGTTCTTGGGGAAGTCAAAGTTAATAACAACATTCACGGCTTGGATATCTATACCCCTTGTAAAAAGATCTGAAGCAAGTAAAATATATTAAATAATGACTACTATAAAATACTTACGAATAAAGTAAAACTTTTTTCTGCACTTCCATAGAGAAACTAATCCTAATAAAATGAAAATTTGATGCATGCTGGTTGAAATAAATAATTAATGTCCATTCTTTAAAGCGGACAACAAAGAGAAATTAAAAGAAACGCTTAAATATAGCTCAAATTGTACAATATATTTATTAAATTAAAATACCATCATTCTTCGATCCCTAGATTTAACTTTCGTGAAAGAGGGAGGCAAATTCAATCACTAGTAAAAAGTAAGCAGTGGCAGTGGATAAAAAAATAGGTATATCAGTATCAAAGTATATCAGTATCAAAACCAATCACTTGCTATATAATCAAATTGCAAAATAAGATCAGCTCATATACCCAAAAGGAAAAAACACACATCATGGCATGACATACCAGTACAAACAAGGTTCCTGCATGCACCATTACGGAAATCATGAAATACTCTGTTACGATGGTTCTGAAGCATCTTTGCATGGATATAAAAGCAAGAGTAGCCAAGTTCTGTAATTTTCTTGGCCAATAGTTCCACTCGATTTACTGAGTTGCAGAAAATGATCGATTGGTTTATTTGCAGCTGCAAATAAATTTATATCAAATCTAATCCAAACAAGGGAAATGGGGAGAAAGCTAGATAAAAGTTAATATAAGGTTAAACCTTAGAGAAAAGAGTATTTAGGCAGTGGACTTTCTGTCTTTCTTCCACAAAAGCATAATATTGTGTAATACCCTTCAGGGTAAGCTCATCCATTAGATTAATAATATATGGTTTCTGTAGGTATCTGTCTTTAAAGTCCTTAACAGTAACAGGAAATGTGGCAGAAAACATCAAAATTTGACGAGTTGCAGGAAGAAAATGTATCAGCTGCTCTATGGAAGGTTGAAACTCAGGAGACAAAAGTTTATCTGCCTGAAAGAAACAAAAACACATAAGATTATGCAGATCATAATCTTAAATCAAGCATTATAAAAGACAAGGAAAATAATCAAATACATTCTCCATTCCACAACAAGCAACTTGCTTCCTTTTTTAAGAATTGTTATATCAATGACTAACACTTCAGAATTCTACTTCCAAAACTAGAATTTATTTAAATATAAGAAATTTATAAATATATATATAGAAGGAAATGGAATACAAGGAACTGAAGATAACCACGGTCAGTCATTACAGAACAATAGAGATGGCGACTCTGGGACCAATAAAGTGAGTATTCAAACTGAAAGGTTGAAGACACTTCCACAACCAGCTTCAGTGACTGCATATTCAGTTGACTTTTCCAAAGAAAATTCTAAGCTATGGATAATGGGTTACAGGTAAGCAGCCAACTTAAAATAATTGCAATTACATTTAACAATTTAAGCAAAAATCCAATAAATTATGCAACCAAAACTGTTTCTAGGACCTTTGAAAAGAAACCAATAAACTTTCAACTAATTGCTAAATTTTCCAAATTGTAAAGCAGAGGCAAGCATTGACTATCACCATCTCACCCAACCAAAAATGACACCAACCATAAATCACAGCTAACATTTTACAAAAAGAACAAAAAATATTTCTTCCATGTCTAGCCAAATACAAAGCTTCAAATTCTAAAATGTATATTTAATCAATCTGAAAAAAGAAAATACAGATAGAAACCATCAAATACTTACTTCATCCATGATAAGCATTGAGCAATCTTTCAAAATGCAAACACCCTTCTTAGCAAGGTCTAGAATTCTGCCAGGGGTTCCAACCAACAAATGGACTGGTTGATACAATCTCATGATATCATCCTTGAGACCAGTACCTCCAGTTGTGACCATGACTTGAATTTGTAAATGCTTCCCAAGCTCCTTGCACACTTGTGATGTCTGGAGAGCCAGTTCTCGAGTTGGAACAAGAATAACAACTGTGCAAAAATACATATTTTGGGTAAACACAAGAACTGAAAGGGTAATTAATGCAAAATAAGAAAATAACTTGTGTCAAAAGTAACAGCATAAAATAAAGAAGACATATATGGAACTGACTCATATCAAAGTAAGCTAAAAAGGGTTTCGCCAATTACCCCCCAACCTCAAATAAAAAAAACAAAAGACAAAACAAAGCCTAAAAGGATTCAAACAAATAACAAAACAAAGACTAAAAGGATTCAAGAACGGACACAGAGTTTTTACCCTGATTTCACTATGTCCCTCCATCCCATGATTCAAATTTCAGTTGACATTCTTCAGCAAATATGCCTCTCTCTCCCTCTGATTTACATGCAGATCAAGCAACTAGAAGAACAATAAAAAGCTGAAAGGGCAAAGTTATCCTATTTGCAGTACCCGTTACTATTTAACTGAACCAATAATAAATACACACAAGAATATACAAAGAAAATCTAAAAATTGAGATTTAACCTTGAATAACATTGTTATCTTGGTCAATTTTTTCCAAGGCAGGGATGCAGAATGCTGCTGTCTTCCCAGTTCCATTTTTGGCTCTAGCAAGTATATTGCTTCCAGTTAAAGCAATGGGAATACTCTCTTCCTGAATAGGAGATGGTCTTTCAAAACCCTTCTCATATATTCCCATAAGAAGTTCGCGTTTCAGAAAATAGTCCTCAAATTCATTTCCTTTGGTAGCTGTCACATCCTGGAAGGCAACAATTTAATAGGCAGTTCAGTGCATAAACATGTAATCATAACATTTGAAATGTGTCCAAATACCAACTGCAACACTATCATGCCTTGTATTGAGAGATATATATGTCACAAAAATAAGATGATATGCTTCCAAGAGAGAAGTAATGCAAGCCTAAACTAGTGTTTTGATATGTAAGTTCAAATTAGAAGGCCTCAACATCAAAGAATTAGGTATAACTGTCCACTTATAATTGTATACGAACTCATGTGATAGTTGGAAGTAAAGAAGAGTATTCCATCTGCAATACTAGAATAACATAAAGTGGCAATTTGTCCTCTACCATTCTAAAGAGCTGTGAAGATTTTAATAGTTTCATAAAGGTACGAGGATGGTGATGATTATCTACTAGAATTCCATAAACCGAACCTATACATGTATTGTGTTCTAAACATAACTGATAAAAGCAGATCCTTTAAGAAACTGTCCACTTATAATTGTATATAAACTCATATGATAGTTGGAAGTAAAGAAGAATATTCCATCTGCATTACCAGAATAACATAAAGAGGCAACTTGTCCTCTACCATTCTAAAGGGCTGTAAAGACTGCTATAGTTTCATAAAGGTATGGTGATGCTGATGATTATCTACGTGAAATCCATAAACCAAAGAACCTATACTGCAGTTGTGTTCTAATTCTAAACATAACTGATAAAAGCAGATCTTTTAAGAAAGTTTTAAAATGATAGTTCTGCTATACTATAACATTAACAAGGACCTATACGAGAAATATATACCTCAGTTTTGTAGCGAGTATCTGCTGGTGGTATTTTTAGCCTTGCCTTCCAATCTTGTGAACTGAAAAAGGGAAACGCAAATTAGATTTTAGAATCATACACAATAAAAATTAAATGTTTGTTAAAGGAAACACAGATTTTGAAAAATTAACTAAAGATTAAGTTTGAATCTACTGCATATACAAGAGATATCACCCACTGATAGTTGTACACACACACAAAAAAAACGTTAACAACTAAATCAAAACCTAAAAACTATTGCATATACAATATTAACAACAAAGGCAATACATAAGTTCCGTCCACCCTTCGTCAAGACCTTCCTAACTGGAAGTTTGGAACTAAATTAAGAACGCTCAAAAGGTGAAAAGCAGTCTACTACGGAAGAGAGATGATACCACTTAATGCAATAGAGAACACAAGATGGTCATAAATATGAAAAACAACAAAAAGAAATGAGAGAAGATATGAAATTCAAAAATGACCTCGAGTCAACGGCTTCCGTTTGTACGGTCTTCTCGACCTCGTGGATGACACTAGAGTCATTTCCGCCGGGAAACTGGTTACGCCTGAGCCACTGCTGTTGCTGTTGATGCTGCTGTTGTTGAAATTGCTGCTGATTCTGAACCAAATTCCTCTGCACGTAGTGCTGTTGCGATGGCCTCGACTGAAAACTAGGGTTGGCAATAACTCCGCCACCCCGGCCAACGCCGATTCCCGGAGGTGGATTCCTCCCTCTACTATTCATATCACAATCCTAAGCTCCAAAAATAACCAAAATCCAAACAAAACTACCAAAAATACAATCAAACACTAGGGTTTCTTACAAAGGGGTAACGCCGTAAATAGTGGCAAAACCGAGGGTCGTCCTTAAAACAAAACAAAGAAGGCTAGAGATTTGTTACAATGAACAGAAATGAAGAAGGTTAGGTCGTAAATTTGAATGAAAACCGAGGGCTCTGTTGTCCGCTTAGAAGAAACCAAATGACCTTTTTTTTAGGGTAACTAATCCAATTATCCAAATATCATCTAACTTTATCTATTAATTCGTTTTTACGATAAAATTTTTAATTTTGTTAATTATAACATTAAATTTTAATTTTATACTAAATTATACAACTTGTTTATATAATAATTTTTTTATTTTATTAATTATAACATTAAATTTTAATTTTATATTAAATTATGTCACTATGTCGTCAATTAATAATATGATGATGATGTGACTAATTGTTTTTATTGTGACATGTCACACCAAAATGATACTTTTTTGACAACAACTATTAATGTCTAAAGCGACAATGTTTTAGGCACTAAATTTTAAGGTGTATCGGCTTTACTACTGAACTTTTAAACTTTTTTGATATTGCACTCTTCAATTGTTGTCGACAACCGATAATCTATTATCTTACATGACAATATCAATATTAAAATATTTCCATTTCACTCCTCTTTCTTATCTTAGAATTGATTTTCTAAGCAACCCACTCAAAATCGATGAAAATATATTTAGAAGTTTGACGTATTAATACTTAGATCGTTTTCAATAACTGTTTGATGAGACTAGTTTTGAGGTATATTGGTTGCTTTATCAAAATAATATTTCTCACTGTTCAAATTTTCAAACAAATATTCCAAATTTTGTAATATAAGAAAACCTTCAAACATCTAAAAATGATAGATTTTTTAATTTCATTGATTTTGAGTGGATTTCATGGAAAACAAATCTTATAATATGATAAAGGAGTGAAATATAAACATGAGTATTGTTTTTGTCATTAAAGGTAACTGATGGTGTACGATGATTGATTGCTGAAAAAGATCGAAAAATGTCTTACCAAAAAAGTAAACAATTTAGAAGTTTAGTAATAAAATCAATACACCTCTTGTAATACCTCAAATTTTGATTAGTGACTAAAATGTAAGTTTTGAAAGTTTGAGGGCTAAAGTATATACTTTGTAAAAGTTCAAGGACCAAACATATAATTTTAAAAAGTTATAGATTTTAGCACGTAAATAAACAGTTTGGCCTAGAACAATAATTTTTGTGGGAATCATATTTTCGGTACGAGATTTGTATTAAAAGCTATAAAGCGATAAAGTTTGGTATTGAAATCGGATAATCAGATCGAACTGGAATTTTATGAAAATTTGAAGGATATTAGAAAAAGGTTGGAAATATTGTTTTCAGATTTGAGATCAAATAAATTTGGCTCAGAACAATATATTTTTTCAGATTTGGTCAAATAGTGAAATTTTATCGACTAAAGTGCAATTTTTGAAAATTGCATGGTCAAATTGAAAAGTCAAAGTCAAGTTGATTCATCTTTGACTAAGGAATGTTTTAATGGAAAATAATGCAATGGCATTTGGTAATTATCAAGTTTCATTAATGGTATTTTTGGGATTTCTCGTTAATTGAATTTTAAATTCAATTATATTATTAAAGTGTCATGTGTCAAGGTTAATAAATACTAGATTAATAAAAAATAATTAGCACAAAATCAGCTCCTTATTCAAGCTTGGTCGAAACCACCATTTCTCCAAGGTAAACATTTTATTTTTGACTTTTAAGTTTACATGATTGATTTTTGGACTAAGTTATGAATTAGAGAATTAATCTATATGAAATTCTCTATCATTTGGTACCAATGTTTCATAGTGAAGATGTTTATATGTTGAGATTGAAGGTTAGGGTTTATGTATGGTTTTTGGAGTTTGAAGAATTAATAAAAGATTATTATATATTTTATGTTGGAGATTAATTTTCAAGCACGTATGATGTTTAAAATCAAGTGTAGAATGATTTAAAGCGTTTGGCCTAATTAGGGTTTTGGTGATTGATTGGATTTTGGTTCAATTTGATGTTGTGTTGATTAGAATAACATGAATTTGAAGTAAGGAAGTTGAATTCATAAATTGCCCATCTAGCTCAGTTGGTAGAGCGCAAGGCTCTTAACCTTGTGGTCGTGAGATCGAGTCCCACTGAGGGTAATTCATAACGGAGGTCTTCCACGAAAGCTGCTCTCAACCTAGCATTGGGTGCCAGCCTACTACCCTACCTCCCTCTTATCCCATTACATATGGGAATAGGGTCAGCTAATTTTTTAAGTTGAATTCATGCTTGAAATTGAATGAAAAACTAGTCTTATGATTATAGTGACATTCAACCATTGGGAAAAAATTAGGGGAAAATATTAAAAAAAATTCTATGGTCTAGAATTGATATTATAAGTGTTATACGTGACTTGGAGATCAATTTGGAACCTTGAGTTAGTAAAAGGGTTAATATACGAGTTTTGAGAATTGTGAGATATTATTGCAAGAATGAAATATTTGAAGGGTTAATGCTGATTTTTAAAGTTGAAAATGCTGGAAATTTAAGTTGGAAAGTTGTTTGGAACCAAATTTCAATTTTGGTAAAATTTGAGGGTGGAATTCAAAAAGTCTCAATATTATGGGGACATGATTTTAAGTTTATTAAACGTGGAAGTATCATTTGAGTAAATTATTGTAATGCTATAAATTTATTTAATATGCTGATTTTTGGGTTTAATTCTTAAATTGAGATTTAATTATAAGTTTATCAAGTTGTGTGGTTGAATTTGAAAAGTCTAAGAAAGTTTAGGATGAAATTACAAGCTTTTGAATGTTTAAGTGTTGATTTGAATATTTTATTGAGCTGCTGGAAATTTTATGTGATTAATGTGAAATGATCATAATGGTGAAGGGTAATTATGGATTAAATAAGAAAGTTGATACGAATTCTAAAAAGAATTAATAATTAGTGGTTGGATTATGAAATTAGTAAAAGTTGAAGAGTTGATAGTGAAACGAAATATTCATGAAATTTAAGGAATATTTTGAGAAGTTTCAAATTACGATAGAAGTATAATTTAGTTTTATATCAATTTAAGTATCGAATTTATTTTTATCGAATTTTATATTTAAGTTTATATTATGTTAGTTCGATACTAACGACTAGTTTGAATATTCTATGTTATTATATGAAGTCCTCATTATACGATAAATTTAGTGATTAAAGTAGCTTGAAAGGGAAGGAAAAAGTGTGGGATCGAGAAGATTATCGTGGAGAAGATTTGATAACGAGACAAAGGTGAGTGCATTTCATTTGTATATATGTTTCAACCAAACATTGGATTGCGATTAACCAGTGTCTGAGTTACGTTACGAAGTGAGTCCTATTGTTATGTGAAGTGCGATTCAAGTTTATATGCTTATTTAGTAAGCTAATAGAACTAGTTAATAAGTCAATGACACTAGTTGGTAAAATCTGCCTAGAAATTTTTGAACGGTAAATTTAGAAAATCATCAGAAATTCTAAAAAAATGATTAGACAATGAATGATATACCTTTGGATTCATCTATCAATCTAGTTTCGTTTAGAACAAATGAAAACTGATTTAGAGAAGTATACAAAAAGAAATGAATTTTTAACCAGTGATAAGTAAAAAAAGGACAACAAATTTTGTCCAAAAACAACTTCTGTCAGTCAACTTTGAAAATCCGCTATAAATTGTACAAGTGGAACTAGATGAAGTGCCTTATATGGTTATACTTTTATTCGAGTCTAGTTTTCAGTGGTGCAAACAGAATAATTTTTCAATATATATATTAATACAGAATAATATTTATTTAAAGGTAGTGCAAACTGCCAAAATATGAAATTTCAATAAATTGTGTAGTGGAAATAATTTTTAAAGCTTAGTGAGACTTATATTTTATTTATAAGTAAATTATTCAATTGAGTCTAGTTTATTTATTTAATTACTTTGATCAATGACAACTTGTGATAAATCAACCTCATTTTGTAACACCCCAACCCGTACTCAACCCGAATACGAGTCTGAGATGTCACATTAACTTTTTAAAACAATATTTTTACCAAATAACAGAATATTTGAACTTATATTAAGAAAATACGATAATATATTATTTAATTATGCCCGTTATAAAATTCTGAGACAAAAATGTATTTATGAATAATATTATACGGTATGAACAGTACCGTGAACAATAATGAACAGTACCCTACTACAATTTTGCTACAGTACTTCTGTGAAACATTCATAAACTCTTAAAAGTTAACCTTTCACCGTTATACATTTACATAAATACATTTAAAACATTCCAAAACTCGACCAGAGCACATATACTTAATTTAAAGACCTTGTTTACATGCCAACCTATTTATCATAAAATGACACATACTGTGTAATTTACTTCTGATTTGATTTTCGAGCAGAGATATATTGTTACTTTTAACTTAGCTTTGATCCTCCAACTTCTCAGTACCTACGTGTAAATCACTTACACGCTAAGTCATAGACTTAGTTAGGCATAAACATAATAATGATACATTTCTCATAAATATAAACATGCAATCTACGAATTCAATCGTTTCACATATGATTTCCGTATATATGATAACAACATAATAATAGATGATAATGCGAACACTTTTATAATCCCATTAATATGTTTATCAGTACTTATATTACTATTATTATATTCTTTTTTATCATATAAATATATATATTGAACATTTCTATACATACCTTGGAACACATATACCATTTCACAACAAAACATATATAATATCATATCAATTGATTTATTTACTCTCTTTAAAGACCATGTATTAGCCCATGTATACTTTTGGGAACTTAAGGTATGTGAGTACATTGAGGTTGTGCACCACTATACTGTCACCACAGCTCGTATAAATATTTTGAAGGACCTATCCAGAGGTCATAAAGAACCTCGGCAACTGTCCATAGGTCCCGAAGAACCTAGGTAAACTGTCCATGTAACACCCCCAACCCGTACCCGACCCGGATACGAGTCTGAGGTGTCACATTGACTCTTCAAACTTTGACTCATGACAAAAACTCGAGAAAATTTAAAACTTTCATTGAAGTCACATCGGTTTGTTTAATTCAATCAATTAGTACATGCCAACTATATTCA